TCTGACAACTAATTATTAGGCCCAGTTAACCCACTATTTCATTGTGGCAAGTAGCTGTAAAGGAGTTAAAGTGAAACTGCACTGTTGCACTGCTTGAACGTGCCTAATGTAGTTGTCTCGCCCTATAAGTTTCTTAAATATTTAACAAAACATTGCTGGTTCTAAATGCATGAATCTGAATGAGCACACTGAGAGCTCTGTTACAGTCCCACTATCTGATTGGTGTGGGTTTTCAAATGAAGCCTATAAGCCCCACCATGCGAGAAGAGAATGTGTGTGAACTGTGACGGGTCATTTTTTTAACGAACCCTTAAAAGGCCCATCTTGTATTGTATTTTGTCCCCTGACATCCACATATGACATTTGCAAGATTTTAGGTACCAAAAACACTACATGACCATTTTTCAACCTCTCTTTATTCTGTAGAGCAGGCTGTTTTTGTTACTGTGCCTTTAAGACTGATATATGTAAATGACCTCTGTGCTGATTAGTTGACGTGTATCGTGCCCTCATTCAAAAAGCAGCCTGGGCTGAAACACTCCTTATAACTTCAGCATGAAGGGGTGGGGCTAAACTGCACATATAGAAATGTATTTGAATTTGTGACATCAACACAATGAATGCAAAGTGGGATGTTTTTACAGGTTAATTTCCATTTTTGGACCTTATATACTGGTATGTTCTGAAACTTTGCATCGGTTACATCATTTTAGGTCAGAAAAGCGATAAAAAGATGGGTTTTCCTTGATATGAGCCTCCATATGCCTGAGTTGGTCCATCTCCAGTTTAAAATATGTAAGTTGAAAAAATGCAGTAATGACAGTGATAATGACTCCCTCTTTTAACGTTCTACTTCCTCTTTTCATGGTGTTTTCTAAGCTGCACTGAAGTCTTTCTAATCCGTGAACCTGCAGTTCCTGTCACTGCTGCACTCGGTGTTTATGCGGTTGTCTGGGGGATGCTCCCAATTGCGTGGGGTGTCTTGATCACCACCACTATTATATCTGAGTATGTTCACGACCCTCTTTCTTTTCCTGTCATTGAAAAGCGGTTTCACTCGAGAATACTCACTCTTATTCTCTAGTCACGCACTTTCCTTCCATTTTACATCTACACAATTTCACATTTTCCCTGTTTACACCACCGGAAATACCCAGCAACTCATCTTTTACCTGAAGTGTGATTGAATGCATGTTCTACCTGTATGTTCCTCTGTACATTACCATTTCTGATATGCTTGTAATACTTGACACTAAAGCCACAGAGGATATTCTCATATATACAGGTTAAGAACATGGGTTCTTTAGTAAAGGCAGTGGTTACATACCATCACCGCTGGAGACCTTCTATATTTTAAAGAGCAACTTTTCAGAAGAAGGAAAAAACTTTCTTAACTTTCAGTGGAAGTTAATGTAAAAGATTGTGGTCATTTTGGACCATTTCTGTCGGTCCATTTGTGTTGAAAATAACACAATGTAAAGGGCAGCTGAAGGTTTTAAATCCTGCAAAAATATAAAAGATGACAAAGTGACAAAGTTTGTTCTGACAGCAATGATATAGAGCCAGTATTTAAATGCTTTAGTGGTTCTTTGCATTGTTAAATGGTGGTGGAGAACCTGTGGTGCACACACACACACAAACACACACACCCACACACCCACACACACAATGCACAATGAAATCTGAAATCTATTGGTATGAGCAGATACCAATAGAAACTGATATTTCATAATGTATTATTTATTGTACTCAAGAAGAGCTGAATGTTTAGGCAATGCTGTTTTACTGCACTGACATCACTGCATTATATTCATTTTACTGCATAAATAAATGATATATCTATCTGTTATGCTAATCAAGGTGGATCCAGTAATAATTTCTACATTTTATAGATGTTTATAAATATCAAACACTTAAAAGTATCAAATATAGCCATTTGATCCCAAATCCCATACTGGTGCCTCACTAGTACATAGCATTGTAAAAACCTTGAAATGGAATTATATAGAACCAACAAGGGATTCTTGTCATCACATAGAACGCTTTTTGCTAAGAGTGTATAATTCAAAAGTTTGGATATGCATCTACTCATTTTACAATAATTAGGAAACCGACTATGAAATAACACTCATGGAATTATGCCGTGACCAAATAAACCTTTAAAACATGAACCTTTTATTTCAGACTCTTATTGTAGAACCTGGGAGGCTTTTCCAACAGGCTTGATGAAGATATACATGTGAGACTACTTTGGCTGTTCAAAACTTCTTATTATGGAGAGGAACTTTTACACAGGCATCAGTTTCACCATCTATACAGACTTAAAAACACATTTCTAGTCCTTCAGTGTGAGCCTTTACACAATTTTTTTTTAAGATTATGAAAAAACAGACATGCGGGCCCAAAATTTGACTGGTACTGCATTCAGTCTGAATATACATTACAGGAATGCACAGATTCACAGTGTGAGTAAGATCGTTATCTGGGTTTGCTCTGTTCTTTGCCAGGAAAAGGCCAAAAGCTACATATGAATGTAGGTGAAAGCAGCCCGGCTCTGATTGGCTGCTTTTGAAAGTGCATCTCTGACTGTGCTGGTGTTGGGCAGCCCCTAAACACCTACATCTGAAACTGCAAGCAGCCCCTGCACTGCTAAAACCACTCACGCGCGTGTGGCCTCTACAGACCTGACTATAACACGGTCAACTTTTACACATATAAAAGCCTGAAGTGATCATCTTTAGCCAGCTGGTGCACTTATTTATGAGCGAATATGATTATGAGGACAGAAGCTAATCTGTAATATTTGTAGCTCTAAATATTTTTAGGTTTGTGCCGATACACATATTCTCAGGTCTGTGGAACTGAGCTATAAATAATACAGAAAATAGACAGGAAGCATCCAGATGCTCTGGTTTGGTCACTAACAGTTTCCACCAAAGAGGCCAAATGAGGGAACCTTGTTTAGTTTGTCATATGCTGAACTGAAATCATTGCACCCTTAATATTTGAATGGTTGCTGAGAAGCTCATGCTGCATGACGATTGGATGTTAAGCCTATATGGCGGTTCACCCACGGTGCAAGTCATTCAGAGAGTGGTTAAGCTGCAACGCCATGTGTCGATAAGAATAGCTCGAATTCTCAGATGTTTGACACACACAGGTCCAAACATCTCTATCTGTAACTATAACATTTAGCATGTACTCTCTTCCATGTTTACACAGTTTGGACACAATACTATGATCAATAACTAATTACAATTCATTCCTCAGTGGTTCTCAGCCTGGAAGTATGGTTCTATGAAAGACTGTTAGTGTTGATATAGAACCTGTGCATTATGGGGAGATGGGAAAGAATAAAACCTACAATATAAAATGTGCCAAAATGGACCCTGAGAAGTACGACAGTGGACTTTCCGATCCAGCTGTGTCCCGTAAACAATGTTTTAAAATAGAAGAATGAAAATAAATTAAACAAAGCAGGACATCAAAATCAAAAGCCTGGAGTCAAGACTAGTAGGATGTAATTTAAAAAATATAATTGCAGTGGATTATGGTACAACTGTGCCCCTGACTAAAGGAACTGAAGACGTACCCTTGAGGGTGCCGCCCAGTGAAAAGAGGGGTACCACCCAGTGACTGAGTGACTTTTGTGAGAGCGCACACTGTAAAAAGTGGCTCATCAGATCTAATTAAAAAATGACTTCATGTGGTAACAAGTAAATGAACTAGTTTTATTCAACCTAAATAAATACTTTGAATGAATGATTCCTTCAATCAATGTAGCCTTTAGAGTTCAATAAAACTGGTTTAATTGCTCGTTACCACATGAAGTGTTTTTCTGATCTGACGAGCCACTTTTTACAATAATGTTTTATTTATGTTTTCCAGTGTGTTTTATTCAGATAAACAGTATTTGTGTATTAAAATATATATATATTTGAAAATGTCAATGGTCCTTTACAATGTGCCACATGTCTATTATGAATGGACCAATAGAAAGTATCCAAATTCGAAAAATGGAATAGAAAAAAAATGAAAAAAAATCTTCTTCCATTAACATCCATTCAAAGACATGTTTTCCTTCTCCCATTTTTGAATACATGAGGTTTTGTTATATCTATCTATCTATATCTATATCTATATATAAATATATTTTTTACACGTTTTGAGCTGGATCGTCTGTCTGTTCACCCAGAAAGTGTCACAACAACCAAATGGAAGAAAAAAATCTGAAAAAACTGTCACCTGACACAGATTGTATATCAGCGTGTTCAGATCGGCCTCTGCCTTGAGCCAGTTGGCAAGTAACGTCATTTAAACAGTCAGTTGGCAAGTAACGTCATTTTCGCCTCCTAAAATAAGACTCCTCAGTAAATCTGGCTCTGTGTGGAGATTCTTCAAACTTTAAATGGTTCTAAACACTAACCTACCTCATTTACAAAAGGACGCAGGGTTTCCCAAACCTCTGTGTCAGCTGAACCCCTTCGACCTGAACCTTAAGTAGCCCTTGAGACGTTAAGTAGCCTGATGTTCAATTAAACGTTTTTAAATAAAATGGTTTTCTGGTCGGTTTGCATGTTTAGTTTCCGATTAGCTTTTCAAGAAAGCTGCTCCAAATACATCACACCCTAATATTAAGATAATGTAGACCTTTTGGCCACAGAAAATGATTTAGCTAACTGTCCATTAGCTGTAATCTACACTAAACTGTCACAGTAATTACTGAAGATATCATTTTTAGTGGAAATATGAGCTTCTGCAACTTTAAAAAAAATATTTTTCTTATAAATATGTTTTTAAATGTAAATCTACTTAGACAGTGGTGTTTCCATCATAGTCAATGCAGTGCCACCACAACCCCTAGTCATAGTCACGAACCCCATGGTTGGGCAACCCCGACCAGAGGGCCCTCTTTGGCACCTTTATTTGTCAGAGTATATGTTTTTCCAGAGAGTAATTTTTACACTAAAGCATGAGCAACACTGCAGGTTCTGTCCTACCTGGAGTCGTAGAGGCTTTAGCAGTGGTGGAAATGATGTGAGTGACTGGCCTGGTGTGAGGCCTTGAGAATGTTACATCTTCAGACGTGCTCTGACTGTGAGTGGTGGCGGTGGTGGTGCTCTGACTGTGAGTGGTGGGTGTTATGTTTTCATCGGTATGATCATCTTCATCTTGGCTAACGGTTGTCGATGTATCATTTTCATTTTCCAAGGTATCACTGACATTATTGTCATCCTCTGTTGGCTTCGTTGAGACAGTACTGGAATAATCCTCAGGGCTGCTATCAGTCAGATTGGTGCCTTGTGGCTGTGAGGTGTGGTCAGAATTGTTTGTGGCGGCCCTGGTGGTGCTGTTTGTGTCTCTATCAAAACTCATCACCCCATAGACACACGACAGAGCCACTAAAGGAGAGAGGGAGAAAGAGAGAGAGAATATTAGTCAAAGTTAATTTAGTGTCTTTCCTTATCAAATATAATATATACTATATCAACACAGTACCACATACTTGGCTCTTTCAGTGCATCACTTCTATACGATAGGACTGCATATCATTTGAATTGCACTGTATTTTCATTTGCACTCATTTTGCACCCGCTCTGTTCTAATGCCTGTTAGAATCTGTCATGGCTAGAACTTAGTATTTATAATATATACAGTGTTTAATATAAACTATACAAACACTATAAAATGGACTAAACAGACACTAGAGACTAAACAGTGAACAGTGGACAGCATTGAGGTGGGCCAAAGATACAATCACTCTCAGTGGAGTGGATTATCCTCAGCAGCAGTGATTATTTGTATATTTACATACATTGTATTTGTATGTTTATGTGTATTATAATTGTTACACCCCAGTAACATTAATAGTCTTCACTTGATGCTTAATAAAGACTTGGAAGTTGATTTTCGTTTGTTTTTATATCTGTAATGATAATTTAATTTGCCTCTTGTTATAATCTTTCATTTGCTATCAACAGGATGTTGTTATGAGCAGATATAAGCAGTATACGCAGTCACTTAGCGGACATATGAGCACGTGGTATTTATTTATTTGATTTGCATATACACAATTTAGCAGGTTTGATGTATCCAGCATGTATTGTGTTATCATCTTTACATTAGCAACTTTTTTTCCAGATCAAAATTAATGCAATGCTCTTTCTCAGTACTAAAGAATATGATTAGGTTTGGGGGCGGCATAGTAGGATATTGCTAAATGTTCAGAAACGCAATTAGAAGCAACCACCACTAAGTAATGCAGAATCCCACCTGCCCGGCCTTCTCTGCACTGAAATAATGCATTTGAGCATGTTTGTGAGACCACTTTGGTCTTTTTTCTTCTTTTTTTTTTTCCTGTTTGCTGCATTTGCACAACCTTTCGGTTTCTTTTCTTCGCACTCGCTTAGTATCAGTTGAAGCGACAAGCAGTTCAGGATATTAAAATAAATCCAGATGCAAGTTTATTTCAGCAAAATATAACCCTGACATTGATAATAATCAAGTCAGTAAGTAGACCAGTGAAGATAGACTTACTCAGCTTACAGACTAGGATCTAGTAACCTGATACATGGTGTGATGTATATAAGACAATTATTAAGGTTTTTCTTTAATATTTTTAATAATATCACCCATTTTCATAATTTTAAGCTTATTTTAGGTCAACTCTGTCCTGTTTACAGCCATATGGCATCTTTACATTTTCAACCTACACACCAGACAAACCAGTAAAACATAAAAGATGTGTTTAATAACAATAATGGACTTTTTAACAACCAGTAATAGAATCAAAGGTGACTTACCGAGGACATACAGGTAGACGTGAGCTTTAGGCATCTTGCTTTTTTGGTGTCTTCTCCTGCACTTGATAGAAACGATCTACACGCGCCTTTTTCACATGAAACCGCTTCTTTCCTCTCGGGCCTTTATGAGAGCTATCGTCATCATCGAGTCTGAAACCGCCAGCTGGAACAGGATGCCTGCACACACAGCATACTCACACACACACAGCACGCACTACACTATTGAACTGTTCAGAGGAAGTCAGACTTAGAAACAACTGAAGACTCCAACTGAAGTCTCTTCAGCTGCTAACGTCTCTTTTTCTACTAGTCAGATTACATCATAGTAAATTTGGTGATAATGGGAACCTCTTTCTCGAACGCTGGTGTACCGAGTATTGAACCCTGAGGGACGCCATGCAAACATATCTCAGCTTATTAACTGATTGACGTGTTTATGGTCAATAAAAAGCCTTTAGCATTATTTGTGTTCACGTACTAACAATGGGCCTCTTTCACTAATATCTTCCCACGTTTGTTTTTTTTTAGAAATGCGTTCTTGAAAAAGGTCCTAAGAAAAAGTCGACGTCAGATTCATGACATGTTCTTAAACTGCAGAATTGTTCACATCTTTGTGCTCTTGAGTGGGTGTAGATTCTGTACTTACCTAAGAAAAAACCCCAAATAAGAACACATTGGTGAATGTCAGAATCTTAGTGAAAACCATGTTAGTGGGTTTTAAGAAGAAATTTCTTCTCTAGAACAGTTGATAAATCTATTCAACTGGATCTAAGACTGATCTAGGTTGTATATTTGATGGACCCCCTTCCCACAAATGTAGTTGATCAACCAAGACATAGTTTAGGGTTTGCTTCTTCTGTTTTGGACGGGTGCTAAGAAGCTAATGTAGCCAGATTAAATACGTAATCCTGTCCTAGGGTTAGTTTAATGAATTCCATTCCTGAGCACAAAAAGTCCTGGAATCCAAGTATTTCCATCTGCTATCATTTCTTATGAAGTTGAAACTGTTTCTGCTTATCTAATCAAACCATTTGCACAGTTGGTGACATGTTTCAGTACTAGGCAGAACTCCCTCATGATAAATCATAGATAAGGTTATGTAGGTGAACTGATCGTAGCTTCCCATCCACTGAATTTAGCAAAAAATATCAAGTCACTGAGTGAATGTGCAGGAATTTTGCAGGACAGCAGCGGCACTGCTACAAGTGACGGAAACTCAGTTATTTTTTTAGTATTGTGCGAATTGTGCACCTATAACACTCAATGGACCCACTTAAACTATAAAAATGGGCAAAAGTCTGTACAGAATTCCGGCTCCATGATGGCAGCTACTGTTTTTAGCAGTATGACATGCTTTAGTCCATGTTTGTAGATAACTATGTGTCATACAGTGTCAGAAACCACATAACCGAGACTGTTTAATATTACCGAACAGCTCGCCATGGCTTGAGGTTGAGTGTGTGAAGATTTAGGCCTGCAGTTAGCGTAATGCTAATTTGGTGGGGTATGAGCTCCCTGCTAGAAAAAAAACAGTACAGACCAGCAAAGCTGGTCACCAGCAAAAGCATATCACTGTCTAGAGAACCAGAGAAGAACATTACACTTTACAGGAGAAGGCAAAGCTGTTCTTTACTTTCAATGTATGTAATGAATTCCAAGTAATTTTGAAGCATTTCTATTGGTCCAGTCATCATGACATTTTCACACAGTGTAAAGGACAAATGATTCAAATGATGAAAAAAACCAGAAAATATGGAAATACATGTTTTTTTTTCTTTTTCAGTGGAAATACGTGGTGTTTTGGATGCTAGTATGCTGGTCAACCAGGATGACCATGGCAGGCGACCAGCTAAACCAGCACCAGACCAGCATAAGCCAGTTTAGACCTGTGCAGCAGGATTTTGATTACTTATTAGCTATATTAGCCTTGTAGCTCCAGTGTAAAGCTAAAGATGTGAACTGCAGACACTCATAACTTTACGTGTGTGTTACCGGGCAAGTCCACAGGGCCTTAGGGCTCTAATTCTGCCTTTCATCTAGGCTGTAAGGGGGCAGACCTGCTGCAAACTTCCTGAGAGGCCAGCTGGGCCATAGTGAAACACATGCAATGACAAACGAAATTTGAGGAGCTCCAAAGAATAATAATAAAAAAATTCAAAACACTCTACACAAACAAATGAAGAATGTCTTCCAAGGTAAGTAATACAAAATTCCCCCTCATTTAGCACTTCTGTGAACAGATCGTAGTTGTGAAGTCTGTCAGACTGGAGTTGACGGGTCTGGATTCAGGATTAGACGTCTGGGCTCACTGACAGCATTATAAGAAGAAAAGAGAGTAAATTTGATTTTTGGCTAAACTCTTCGCTTTAAGACCAGAAACATCAGATGGAGCACAACACTCGATCACTGTGTACTCAACTCAGAGTGTTTAGGTGCTTGACTAACATTCACACCACCGTTTACTGAACACTAGAAACATTTCACACATATGTATACACTTCTATACACAAGTACACTTAAGTGTCTTTAGTTTATTCTGTATTTATTGCCTATTAACAGTCCTTTTTTAAGGTATACATACTGTCATCCTACTAGTGCATTTGCACTCATGTCCTTGTCTCAATGTTTATGCACCAGAGAGGCAGCCCAGATGTGTTGTTATACTGTAAGATAATATGAATTGAATTAAATAACGTAGATGATGTTCATCCATTTTGCCCAACACAGCCTCAACATCAGTCGTCACCAACCCTGCTCCTGGACATCCACCTTCCTGCAGGTTTCAGCCCAAATTTAACTCATTTAGCTATTCAGGAACTTCTAAAGGCAATTACTAGATGGATCAGGTGAGGTCAAATAGGGTAGGACCTAAAGTCTGCAGGAAGGTATCATTGGGCTACATATTTCTGGAGCTTATGTCTCCCCCTGGTGGACAGAGAAGACATTGCTCTATGCTGAAGTTCATAACTGCAACATTTCACTCGTGGTCAACTGTAATAAAAAACTTTATTATCTGTACAACATTTCAATTCAGTACTCACTTCTTATACAAAAATGGCACAGGAGGAGGCATCAACAGTTCATCCAAAACTATTGTGCATTTGACTAATTTCTCAGTTTAAGATCATCCTTAATGAGAGGAACCAAGAAGAATCAAGATTCATAAGCTCCTCAGTCCAGAGGATGTCATCTTTGTACTGGAAATTAGCCCATATTTCACATTTTTTCCCCATAATAACCCCTGACAGTAAGGCTTAGTGCCTATGAGACTGCACTCTGAACCACATTTGGAGGGCAGTCGGTGACACAGCTCTGGTCACCTGATGGTCCGGTACATCATGAAGTCTACGGTGGTGCATCGTGGAAACTTTCCGATGGAGCTCTCTTCCACGGGTGTGTAGACTTTGATCTGCCGCATGTGCGTGTCGCGCCCGTTCTGGTGGTTGGCCAGCACAGCGATCTGGATCATGAACGTCCTGATGGGGTTGTTGACCAGGTCCAGCAGAGGGATGTGGATCCAACCGCTGGGCTCCACCATCTCCAACTGCTGCTCTCAGACACAACACATACAGTCAGAGACACAGACAGGCCACGAGCATCCACAATCAAATACTGCACTACTGTTCAAAAGTTTGGAATCACTTTTTACAATTATATAAACCTATATATAATGTATATCTCTGACCAAAGAAAACCATGTCTCTCCATTTTTGTTGATGTTTTTTTTTACTTTTTTTTTACGTCGTGTGAAAATTTCATGATGAATGGACCAATAGAAATGCTGTAAAATCATTTGGAATAAAATCTCTTTACATTAACTTACACTGAAAGGTAAGAGTGTTTTTGCTTCTCCTGTAAAGTAACTATATTGTAGACACTTGTTTTTCTTTGGGCAGCAACGATATACAATATAATAAGTTATTCTTGTGCAGCTTCACAGGTTTCAAATAATTATAAGTGGGCTTTTAACGTTTAGTTGTGCCGCAATGATGCATGGATCTGTACAATGTTGTGTAAAAGTTATAGACCACATTTCCTGTCAACACTGTCGTTACGTCATTCATTTTTCCATATTAGCAAAAAAAGCAAAAGACATATTAAATAGAAAATTACTCAGAAACCTCAACATCTAAATATAATATCCTTTTTTGTATTTAATGTGTCCACTCTGTTTTATAGTTTCCATGTACTTTCAGTTTTTTTACAGAAATCTGCAGACACTCCTCCAAAGTTCAGTCTTAGAAGCTGGTTGATCATTTTCTGAAGTAATCAAACCCATTCAGTGGTGTTGAGGTCTGGACTCTGGGGTGGTCAGTCCATTGTTCAGCTTCTTTGTTTGATGTCTCCTTTTCTCAATGAGGTTCTTCTTGATCAGCTACACATCCTTTCAGACCCACAGCGCTGAGTCGTCTTCTCACAGTGGAAGGATGGACAGAAACACCTGTGGATGTTTTCAGATCTGAAGCAGCTTGATTTTCTCCTCTCTCTCAAAGACGAAAGCTTCAAGTGCTGTTTATCTGATGGGGGCAGTTTTGGTGACTACTAGGACTTTGATGGTTGTTAGGAGTCCCATTTTCTCTGTATCGTCTAATAATTTTTGAACCCCGTTGTGAAAAAACTTTTTCCAGTTTTTTTATTACTAGAAAGTGATTCCAAACATTTGACCAGTATTTATCATTTAGTTTTCAAAACTTGAAATATGAAAAGCTTTAGATTTGGGTTCAAGCTGAAAACTCTTACCCGGAGCTCCAGCAGGTTGTGGAAGTTGTTTCCTACTCGGACTGAGATCTTGCTGGGAGTGTAGCTCTCATCTGACTTATAATCAGCATAAATACAGAGCATCTTCACTGTGGTCTTCCTCCTGAAGCAGACAGGAAGGACAGGTAGTGCTGAGAGATTAATGGCTGGTCATATTTACTAAACAATATACTCACAACACTGAGAGCACCAACATTCAGAAACATTAACACACAAAAGTTATTATTTGGAAGTTACCTGAACTGGATGTTGACCAGGTGAGGCTGAGAGCCGTCAGACTGCCAGTAGGTCTCCAGATTATCATCCCTCAACTGGTCGACTCCAAAACCTATCAACAAACAGAGAGGGAGAATGCATGAATGAATGAATGAATGAATGAATGAAGATAACCAGAAAATACTGTTGCAGTTGTAACAAAAACTTTGGGTTTCAGAAATGGAATCTTTCCACAATTTAATGTATGTTAATGTAAGAAATATTTAATCCAGGTAATTTTGGACGAGTTATATTAAACCATCTGTCATAGAATTTTCACACAACATAAATGGCAGATGGTTTTTCCAAATGCTGTAAAAAACCTGATAACTGTTAAATTTCTGTATAATAAACTAATGATAATCAATAAATAAGCAATTTCCAAGCTAGTTTTTGAGGATCTCCTACTAGTCCACATTCGCCCAGCACATCTGCACCAGGTATTCTGAATTCTTGGTTCTCATGTGCTACAAGCAAACACTGTGGGTCATCTGAGGGTCGGACTAAAGAACACTGTAAAGAACACTATTTAGAGCATCTTTCATCCTGACTGCAGAACCTGGAGACGCTTTATATAAAGAGGGAACAAGAGGGTGAAAGTCCAGCTCACACACCGGGCTTGCAGGAGGAGAGTGACCACACAGCCTGAGCCCCGATCTCCCGGACAGTTCCGGTGCGCTCAAGTTGCTTCGGGTCAGCGCCGGGTGGTGTTTTGGCAGCAGTTGCCATGGTAACCTGTTAAAGAAAATCTGCAGGTAAACAAAAGGCCAATTAAACAATCTAATGAGCTTGGATTAAAATTAAACATCTTTAGGTTTGTTTTTATATGTTCTTAAATGTTTTCAGTCAGTTAAGTAACAGCCTGGCAGTACTACAGACGCTTTTCACCCCCAAATTGAACAATAACACATTTAGCACCTCTGAAGCTGGGGGAATGTGTTTTTTGTTACTAATGAGCAAAAGAAAAGTCTGAATTTTCAGCAACATTCATTTTTTATTGAATAAATTCATTATTTTGTAACATTTTCTAGGCTGCCTATTGTGGAGACCTTGATTTCTGCCCTAAACATCACAGAATAATGAAGAGAATAAAAAATAGCTGAAAATACACAGCAATACTGAGTGACTGAAACTCGCAAAGTTAGAAACATTTCTGCAATTCCTGAGTTCTGTAAGTTCTGAGTTCTGAGTTTTTAAATCAGAGCAAAATATCAATATTAGCATTAACGAATCATTTACACCCTCACAGAAATATCGTAAAGGGTTTATCACACAACAGCGACCTCAGCTTCTCTCAGACGGCTCAGTTAGAGAAATGATGCAGCCGCGTCTACATTCTTAAAAAAGATGGTGATCATGAGTTCTATGAAGGACGATTTCATGCTTAAATGGTTCTTTAGATTGATGGAGAACGTGTTGTACATAACGGTTCTGCTACTGTAATCATTTCAAGCTTGTAATAATTAAAGAACACTTTTTAGTGCTAAACAGAACCATTTTGAAAAAGGTTCTATATAGAACCATATACAACATATTCTCTAATTAATCAATCAACCTTTATTTTCACTCTGAAATACAATGAGGGTGAGCCCTTATTTTCAGCGTAGCTGAGCATTTACAACATTCAAAGGACTAAAAAAGAAATTAAAAAGGAATTTAATCAATGAACAAAACATAAACAAATGATCAGAAAGAAAAATCAGACAAAAAAAAAAACGGCCAAAGAATTATGAAAAAAATTAAGCTTTGATTAAGGAGAAACACAAAACCAAGATAATAAACCAGGCAAACTAAAATTTAAAACAGCTGAGTAAAAGGATTATCGAAGGGAATAAAATAAATAAATGAAAACTGTAATTAGAATTACAGTTATCCTAACAGAACTAAATTAAAATGAAATAAAATAAAATAAAATAATTAGCAAGAAAAAGTTCATAAAATAATAATACAATTAAATAAAAAGGAGAAAGGAAATGTTGAAAGTTACAGTCTGGAGGTGTTCAGAGAAATCATCAATCTGAAGAACCACATCACCACGCAAAGAACCACTTAAGCGTCTTATATAGAACTCAGCTCTGAACAGAACCGCTTCATACAGCTGACTAACAGAACCGCTTCATACAGCTGACTAACGGAACCGCTTCATACAGCTGACGAACGGAACCGCTTCACAGAGCTGACTAACGGAACCGCTTCATACAGCTGACGAACGGAACCGCTTCACAGAGCTGACTAACGGAACCGCTTCATACAGCTGACGAACGGAACCGCTTCATACAGCGGACTAACAGGCTACAGAACCGTCTGTTTAAGCGACTCTAACAGGCTACAGAACCGTCTGTTTCAGAGTGAAACCGCAGCTCGGTCCGATCTCACCTGATCTCCACACTAGTCCGATCTCCTGAACATCTCTGATCGAAATAAACCCGTTTTTGTTTTTAATCGATCCGTTTCTCAAACAGAACCCGCCCTGTCCCCGGCTCTGTCGCACGCTGATTGCGTCACTGCTTCCCTCCTGTCGCATGCTGATTATGTTTTTTGAAATAAATTTACTTCCAATCGATTATAAATTTCCCAAAACTGAATCCGGCGCTGTATTTAAGCTTCATTCTGATGATCAGTCTGTATATGTATTTGTGTCTGTGATCCCCGAGCTTTCTTATTCGGTGTATTTTCTGTATTACACGGTCTCAGTGTTGTGTATGTTTTGTATATGATGGGAAAAATAAAAATAAAATAATAAATAAAAAAATACTTTTCATAAGTGTAAACGTTATAGTGTTTGGATTTTAATCATAGTTATTTAGTAAGAGATTGAATGTTCTTCATGCTAACAATAAAAACTGTGTGAGGATGGTGAATATTTGCCAGTTATTTATTTATGTGCATGTTACCTTATTTGTACATTTGTGTAGATACACTTTCTATTGTATGATGTTTTCTGAAAAAAAGACTATTTTTGTTTTTTAAAAATAAATTTTTCTTTTGTAAAAAGAAAAAAATTGTCCTGCAGCAAAAAGTTGTCCTAGAATGATTGCTTTATTCTATGATACCATATAATCTATTTAAAAAAAAACAACAACATGTACTTGTATTTCGTTGGGCTAAAATGTTTGTGTAATTGTGCGCTGCTGAATAGTTACAGTATGTTTTCTAAGTAAAAGTAAAATCTATACGTACATGTTTTATTAAGAAAAATAAAAATAACATTTTAAAACAAAAAACGGATAAAAACTTTAAGCTACGAAGAAAAACGATCTCTAAATTATTATTATTATTATTATTATTATTATTATTATTATTATTATTATATTAAAATATTTAAAATAAAAATAAATAAAAGCCGATCGTTGCCTGGCAACTGCTTCCCCCACCGTCGCGTACTGATTGCGTGGTCAACGTAACGAGGCTCTGGCGCCATCTTTCCCACCGGCTCCTCCGTCCGTCCGGCGGCGCGGAGGCTTTTTCACCGCTTTGACCGCTTTAAGCTCACTGTAACCGGGTTAACGGGCTCCGGAGCGGCGGCTCGGTAAGTCAGCGCTGCTGGTGTGTGTGTGCTGCGGCCGCTCGGTGTGTTAGAGAGGGAAACGGGCGCTTCGCCTCAGTCAGTCGGACCGTCATTGCGGCGCACATGGAGGCCTCTCGGTCCGCTCAGGGAAGCGGGCTCTGCGCGCTGCTTACTCAGCCCTGCTCGGGGCTTCTCTGACTAAAACCTGTGGAGTTGGGGGGTGAAGGGCTCGGCTGGCAGACGGAGACGGGTGGTCCGTCTTATGGTGCTGAAATTGGCTTCTTATTACTCGCCGTTCGAATTGCCCCGTTCCACCTTAAATGGCGTAGCAGTTACGTTGAGGCGCGGGGCCCCGTATGTAACTGCTGCACCATTTAAGGTGGAGCGGGATAATTCGACCGAGAAGCCCGCTTCGTGTCTGAGTGCCCCCTCAATCTCACACCCATAGTGCTTTAACTATAACACAGTAACAATGCTAGCAGAGACCTCAGACCTCCAGCTGGACACTGGACCCCTGACTGACCCTGCGCCAGCTGGGCTCCCAGTTATGGCAACTCAGCTACTTCATTCACTCCATTCAGTCACTCCGAACCCACTGACCCTGCAGGACTTTGTCAGCCAGAGCTGACCGCTGTGGTCAGCCCGTATGGCCTGCTGGGTTTATCAGTGAATCAGACATCGCAGGATTTTAAAGGGCCCATATTTTTAGCGTTCTTGTTTTTATTTTCACACTAATGACGTGTTTGCAGGTTTATGTATCACATATTGTTTTTGTAGTTGTTCTCTTACAATTAAACGAGCTGTTTTTGTTTGATACTGTCTGAGACTGAGATATGTAAATGAGCTTTGTTCTGATTGGCTGCCTTGTGTTGTTCCACCTCAGAAAACAGTCCAAGCTAAAACACTGTATGTAACAGGGGTGCTCCGTTCTGGCAACCGCTCAGAAAGCACATTATGTTCTCTTCATCTGGCAAACCTGATACAACCTCTCCTTATTTTTTAGAATTAAACTGGCTGTTTTTGTTACCATACTTTAAGACTTGTATGTAAATGAGCGCGGTTCTGATTGGCTGCTGTGTTTTGTGTGAACTTTTTGAAACTTTAACAGCACTTCACACTTTTTACATTGGGGAAGAAATTGGAAAATGTTTATTATGGGACTTAAAAACACAGCTAGAAAAATTAAATTTACTTTGATATGGACCCTTTAATTAAATTCAGTATTGCAATAAGATAAAGTGTAGTAAAGCGAGTAAATTTTCAGAGGGGTTTTATAACGTGACTCATGTTTGGCAAACAGTTATCAGCATGCAGTGTAAAAATTGAAGCCTCTCCCTCTCTCCCTCTCCCTCTCCCTCCCTCTCCCTCTCCCTCTCTCTCTGTCCCCCCCTTTTTCCTCTCCTCGTCTTTAGGAAGGTGTGGACCTCCTCTTTTATAAGCTGAGCTCTCTCTGTCGTCACCAGCACGATGGCTGACAAGAACACCAGGATCGCTATCGTGAACCATGACAAGTGCAAACCTAAGAAATGCCGACAGGAGTGTAAGAAAAGCTGTCCTGTGGTGCGGATGGGTAAGCGTGTCTAATACTATTACTAAAAAATACAGCCAGCCTTTTGTTCTGCTTATCTCATATTAAATCGTATCCAAATGCTCTCATTGTGTCTGTTTTATGTCCTCAGGTAAGCTGTGTATTGAAGTGACGCCGCAGAGTAAGATTGTGTGGATCTCCGAGTCTCTCTGTATAGGCTGCGGTATCTGCATCAAGGTAACTGAAGTTGGCCTTATCAGCTGTGCTTTTGGTAACGTGGTGGTTATGTTGCTCAGAAAAGCATCTGTTGTTTGATCAGAATGATTCAGGCACATTACATATTTGCCTAATGATGAAATGTACTAGTTATTGTAATAAAGTAGAGACAAGTGGTGAATTATTCTTTTTATTTTAGCAAATATACAGAGGTTTTGTTTGCTTTCCAGAAATGTCCGTTTGGCGCTCTGTCGATTGTAAACCTGCCGAGCAATCTGGAGAAGGAGACCACGCACAGATACTGCGCTAACTCCTTCAAGCTGCACAGGTGTGCACACTCTCAGAAATATAGTATCATGTAACTTTAAGACGTTTTGGTGATGCACAATTTTTAGTGTAACGAGGACTAATTATGTGCTCTTTATAATGAAACATGCAGTTATATGCGTTACTTACTGACCACAGTGAGCTCAGAGATTTATCACAATAATGATAAAATATATTGTAATGTCTGCCTTCACTCTTTAGTAGGCCTGCTGCTACTGCAGTCCCTTTAAAGGAGATTCTGTATAATTAATAAATGATAACACACATTTTTTACATCTTTAAATGTAAATATTTATCATGTCAATACACACACACACACACACACACATTCGCTAAATGTTTACTATGTAGATTATATAAACGGTTTTGAAAATTTTAGACAGTAATTCTTGTTGGATTTGGAAACAATATTGTGAGGCAAGATTTTAGAAGCAAAAACGTTACGACATAAAATGGGGCTGCGCTGAAAACTGCAACACAGCGATAGTAGCATGCCAACCATATCTTCAGCATAAATTTTAAGTTTCCACATTTTCATTTTATTTTAAGGCCTAAGCAGGAGTCATACAGCTTCTGTAGTGCACCGCTGACGCTCCTGTGTGCTCCAGATTTAATCAGCGTAGTCTTGTGTCTGAGGTGTCATGTTAGTTAGGTTATCATGATACTTAAGACGTTTTCACGATAAATGATATGTACTACAGTATTTTGACACACAGACACAGTGCACTAGTGCCACAATTAAAACTACCATGAATATATAAAAAAAAACCCTTAGAAAAGCATATTGTGTTTCATAGTAATAATATTCATCACACTAACGATATAATATTGTCACATTGTCCACCGTAGTGGAACTGTTATGCTTTGCCACTGTACAGTGCCAAGTCTGGTATAAACCTAAGCCAACAACTTCATTTTTTTATTGATGCTGTATGTTCAGCTTGCTGTAGGCTGGCCAAGGTTTCACTATGTTCACCCAAAGGGAAAGAAGCAGGTGTATTTTTTTTTGTAATATTAGGTTTATGGAAGTGGTGAGGAATCCAGACTCCCAGTGCAAATTTGCCACAGCGGCAGCTCTAAAATGAGCCCCACAGCAGACCTCATAAACTCACTCTTATCACAAATGATTTTTTTTTTTGGTCATTTAATTATGAAGCCCATGAAGGTGAATCAGCTGAAACACTTGTGTGTCAGTTATATTTAATTATTTTAATGTGACCATGGCAGGTTGCCCATTCCACGTCCTGGAGAAGTGTTGGGGTTGGTGGGAACCAACGGAATCGGAAAATCGACTGCTCTCAAAATCCTGGCAGGAAAGCAGAAACCCAATCTGGGCAAATATGATGTGAGTCACAAATACATACACCACACTTTTATTGAGTTTTAGTTTCTACTGAAAGTCAGGTGCAGTGTAGTAAATGAATATGTTTAAAATATCGCAGTATCTTACAGATACATGCACAGCAGATTACTCAGTTAAAACAGTTCTGTAATGATCTGCAACGGGCTGTATTTATTGTGTAATAATTGGGACAGAAAGTATAGATTCCATTGGCCAAAGCTAGTCACACAATGCTGCCTTTTGAAAGATAAAGATGTAGCACCTCCCTTATCTAGTCTTCACAACTGACTCTGTGTATTACTGGCTTGGGTTTCCAGGCCCCTCCAGACTGGCAGGAGATTCTGGCCTATTTCAGAGGCTCTGAGCTGCAGAACTATTTCACCAAGATCCTGGAGGACGACCTGAAGGCCATTGTGAAGCCGCAGTACGTCGACCAGATCCCCAAAACTGTTAAGGTAAAGAATCCGCCTACACAAGCTCTTTCTCAAGCTCGTTGTAGATGAGCGCCATTTGTCAAGTATTTCACAAACGCATTAACGCAGGCTAGATCCCCACAGCTCTGTACATCAGCAGGTAAACTTCAGGAAACTCAAAAGCTTCTGTGTGTATTATTTGCTGTTGTGCTGTTTTCTGTGGAGAAGTCCGATGTTGATAATGCCATTCTGCTTTCAATTCAATTCTTTGTTCTGCCTGCAGGGGTCAGTAGGAGACATCCTGAGGAGGAAGGATGACACTAAAACAGAGGAGCTTGTGTGTGACCAGCTGGGTATGTAACTTTTGTGTTTATTACGCTTAGATAGTGATAAAATATAGAATAGATCATCACAGATACAAATAAACTGATTTAACTGAATTCTCAATTTTTAGTGCCAAAGTTCCTTCAGACTTTTTTCAGGTTTAATTCTGGAATTTTGTGGTTATTAGAAACTAATATTAGTCAAACTGTGTTGAATATTGACTGTGTGCGCTGTGATTGGTCAGATTTGCTGCACTTGCGAGATCGTAACGTGGAGGATCTATCAGGAGGAGAGCTGCAGAGATTCGCCTGTGCTGTTGTTTGCATCCAGAGAGCAGACATGTTAGTGCTTTTCTCTTCTTCTATCTCAGACCTACCTAAAGTGCATGTCAGTTTTTCCTTTGTTTCTCTGTCTTCTCTTCTCAGCATTTGTCGTCTTTTCCTTTGTCTCTCTAGGCTTGTTTGACTGTTCTAGTCTGAAGTAGTTAATGTGGCCTCTTCTGTTGTCTTTTGGTCAGTAGTTTAGGTCTTTTCTAGGTATGTAGTAATTTTTACCCTTGTATCTCTGTAGTTTCATGTTTGATGAGCCGTCCAGTTATCTTGATGTGAAGCAGAGACTGAGAGCTGCCATCACCATCCGATCCCTCATCTCACCTGACAGGTCAGTTACACCTACAGCTCTTACATGTACATCTGAGCAGCGTCATTGCATATATATGGTTTTACACATATTGAAACTGACCAGTGCGGCTATCAGCTTCATGCTGTGAGTGGTTATAAATCATATACTGCAGTTACCGCAGTTAAAGGGCCCATATTATAGAAAACTGAATTTTTGAAAGAGTCCATAGGATCCATATATTAAAATTAAGCTGAAAAAACAGCCTGTTTTGAAATATTTGTTTTTGTGATGTCAAAAAAAAAACAACACTTTTACATACATCTGGATATTCAGCCTACAGTGGCTTAGCTCTGGCCATCCACACTGAAGCTATAAGAAGTGTTTCAGTCTGGCCTTCTTTTTGAACAAGGCACAATACAGGGGAGCCAATCAGAACAGTAGTAATTTACATATCAGCACAGTAACAAAAACAGCCTGTGTAATTCTATGGCATGTGTCAAACATCAGGCCCACCACAAAATCCTATCCAGGCCAAAAAGGTATTTTAATTTTCTATGAATATTAGCCAGTTTCAGAACGCACTGCACTACAGTCCCCAGCGTGCACTGCAGCGTAATGTGCTCTGTCTCTCCTACCCCAACAACAGTCTGTGGGACATTCTACACAATTCCACACAGTCATATCACCACAATGCATTTCAGCTGCAGTTCAACCAACATGAACACTTAACATCAGCTCAGCATCTCAGAAACTGAGCCCAAACATTAATGAACTTGCAGCAAAGAAAGGATGGCAGGTGTCCAGTTAAAGCAAATAGAGCACCTGGGGACATTTAAATTTTTATATTTTATGTGTCCATGTAATGTTTCAAGGTCTACTACAGGTGTTCGTATTTTACTGTTGAAGTTTTTGCATTTTTGAATGAACAATGGCCAGTTTGACCCTCGGGAGAAATGTAGAACATAAGCTTTTTTAATATAGCTATACAGTAATATCTCTCTCTCTCTCTCTCTCTCTCTCTCTCTCTCTCTCTGTAGGTATATCATTGTGGTTGAGCACGATCTGAGTGTGCTGGATTATCTGTCTGACTTTATCTGCTGTCTGTACGGAGTGCCCAGCGCTTATGGAGTCGTCACCATGCCCTTCAGCGTCCGAGAAGGTAATAGCACAGTTACACTGACTGAAAAAAATCGTACAAGTTGATCGTATGTCTTCAGACTCCAGTACAGTCACACATTCTCATTAGAGCTTGAAACTTTTGTCTGAACCTAAATTCTCAGAGCACAAGATCCCAAAGTTTGCTCAGTCTAAAAGCATTTGGAAGCACTTTTTAATGAATGATTTCATTAAAGGGAAATTAAAACATCATTTTGGACAAATGATTTAGTTACTATAACAAAATTACTTGTTTTTTTGGTTTTATTTGTCTGTGATTTAATGACAGCTGTGTTTGTCGCTGTGCAATAATTTAACCAGGGCTATCCTGTCAGGTTTGATTCAGCATTTTGAGTGAATATGGATCAGTTCGGGTCAGTTTCAAACAAAACTTAGTTGTTCGCAGGTCAGCTTTGGACTCAACTTGATGTGGCTCCAGTCGAGTTCAGACAAATTTTTGTTGGGCGGTATTTATTAATAGACCAAAATTTCAGCCTCAATTAAAGCTCTGATTCTCACTCAACCTCCCTCCAGGTATTAATATCTTCCTGGACGGTTATGTCCCGACCGAAAACCTGCGTTTCCGCGAGACCTCTCTGGTGTTTAAAGTGGCGGAAACGGCAGCAGAAGAAGAGGTGAAGAAGATGTGCCGTTACCAGTACCCCAACATGACCAAACGCATGGGAGACTTCACGCTCAGCATCACTGAGGGAGAGTTCACCGACTCTGAGATCATGGTGATGCTCGGAGAGAACGGTGAGAGAGTCTGTCTGTCTGTATGAGGGAATATGAAATGAATTGGATCAGTGAGTTAAAGGTAAATTGTCTCTCACTGCAGGAACTGGAAAGACCACATTCATCAGAATGCTGGCAGGAGGACTGAAACCTGACGGAGGAGGTAACATTCACATGCACTCTTGAAAAGGCCTGAAGGAGCCGATGTTCTAAAGCCTTGCAGCACCGTTGATGTGATTGTGTGTTTGTAGGTGAAGTGCCAATTCTGAACGTGAGCTACAAACCTCAGAAGATCAGCCCCAAGTTTAAAGTGAGTCAGACACACATCAGGACTGAATCTTGTCATGCTCTATTTGACAAGTAGTACATACGCTATTTCGTATTCGTTATGATGAGTTACATCATGACCATGTATCGTCAGTACAACAACAAACTACAGCATGGATTTGAAAAAAAAGAAACCCCAATGATTTAGACTGTAAAAACAGCACCCAGTGTATAGTAATTGCATAAACTGCATAATGACAAGTAGCTTATTGGTTCAGCTTAATAAGCCATTCTTACTGTTTTACTGTTTTTCTTTTCATTTAATTTTTGATGAGCCCTTCTTTGGTTCAAGCACAGGTTATTCCTGAAGCATCTTTGGGTTCCCCCACCTTACAGAACCTTCATTTCTAATAGGTATTTCGCCGAGTGTCTGGATTTCTTTTTTTTATTTATTTGTTTATTTTTTAATTTAGGGCAGTGTTCGTGCATTGCTACACGAGAAGATCAGAGATGCGTACACACATCCCCAGTTTGTTACTGATGTCATGAAGCCCATGCAGATTGAGAGCATCATTGACCAGGACGTGAGTTCCCATGACAACAAGCACACAAAAGCACAGTCTCTGCCAGTCACTCGCCTCCTGTCTCTTACTCTGTGGTTAAATTTTCTCTTTTTGTTGCGTGTCTGTAGGTTCAGAATCTATCTGGTGGAGAGCTGCAGCGTGTCGCGCTGGCTCTGTGTTTGGGGAAGCCGGCGGATGTTTATCTGATCGACGAGCCGTCGGCCTACCTGGACTCCGAGCAGCGTCTCATGGCAGCCAGAGTCATCAAACGGTAACACGCCTACCGAAATATTCTGTGGGGGGGTGGGGGAAGCATGAAGAAGACAGGAATAGCCTGGATTTGCATGAATAACATCTGACAGTGAACACTGATGTAGGACCATCTGTGTAAGCAGATTCATTAGGATATGGAGGACAAAACTGATACTGGACCTGCACTATTAAGAAATGACAAAGCTGTGAGCCATTGGTGCTGAGGACATCACATCCTATTTAACCTGTTATCGCCCTCTTTACGCTGCACACAGTCCTAACAGCTTCATTTGGTGTTATGTGACCAATGAGTTCTTCATATTTCCTTACAGATTCATTCTCCATGCAAAGAAAACTGCCTTCGTGGTGGAGCACGACTTCATCATGGCCACCTACCTGGCGGACCGAGTGATTGTGTTTGACGGAATTCCCTCAAAAAACACCTCCGCCAACACGTAAGATACGGTTACTGTCTTCTTACGATAAAGCATTAAACCACAAGAGGTTTTGTGTATTTGTATTCTGTTCATTATCTAAGGTAGTAATATTGTGTGTGTGTGTGTGTGTGTGTGTGTGTATTGAGTATCAGCTGGAAACTTGGCATATTCAGTTTTTAGATTTTGTGTATTTTAGTTTTTAATGATGAGTGGAGTTTGAGTAGGTTGTTAGGCCTGTTTTACCCAGTTTTCACTGTCCTAAGTGTTGCATGACTGTGTTTTACAGGCCACAGACTCTGCTGGCTGGCATGAACAAGTTCTTGGCACAGCTGGAGATCACATTCAGGAGAGACCCCAACAACTTCAGACCAAGAATTAACAAGCTGAACTCCATTAAGGTACACACACAGTTTAATAAAGGCATTTCTGAAAAGTAGAGCATCGTAATGGCCCACACGTGACACATTAAGACCAGACACTCAGTGCAAGTATGTAAGCACAGATAACACCCGGCCAGTGCATTGCAAATGCACAGTCCTGCTGTGCAAACTCAGCCTGCATTCTCACATTACTGTGGTGATAAAATACTCAGGCTGCATCTTATCCATGCTATCATGATAAATACAATGCCGAAATAGTACTCCACACTTAGTACTCAAGGGGCTGTGAATGGGATCTGTTGTTATTCCAGCAGTCACAGCTAATATACTGAACAGTAAGGGAGTGAGTGCTGCTTTATTTGTTCTGTTAGAAAGTGATGTTTCATATGTTTTACAAGTGCCTTGTCAAACTGCTGGTCTGCCATGCACGTTGCCTGGGAGAAAGCACAATGGTGGTAGAAGACAACTTTTCCAGGTTCGGCTGTCTCTATATAGCGCCCCCTTGCTGCAAAGAATGCAGCTTGCACTTGTTTTGTGTTAGGAATTGCGCCGTGGCACCCTTTAGAATGCGATGACAGTGATGCGAACAGTGTAGTCTAAGGCAAAGAGAGGGCACACGCATAACAACACGAACACACGGTGAGTTTTGACCACTATAAGGTACTCAATATCCCAAATGTCCCCCATTATCATGTGACAAAGATCATCTAAAACAGACCTGTTTGTACTTGTACACATAAAATGATTTTAAATGTGGTCGGAAACTGAGATATCGTTCCAATCCGAGGTATATTTGACTATAAACTGTCAGCTGATATAAAATTGTAAAGGGAATGTCTTGACGTTCTGCTCCATACATTATAAACATGACAAAAACACACATTTGTTCAGCAAGCAGCTCCCCTGTTTTTGTGGCCTGAGGTGTGCAGAGTGAATACACGTCCCTTTGCCCCCTTCTGATGAAGCTCCTAGCCTTCAAAATTGCTTCTGATTTGCCAAAGTTTGTTGTGTAGCATACGGTCAACTTTTGGAGGGTATAGAATAGAGAATTAGCAATATGAGCTAAAGAAACAAGAACATTTTGCAGGGAAATGGTGTAATAAAGTCCAAAATAGTGCTTTAATGTTTTAACTGAAAGCAAGTAGTCGGGCTACTGAAATAACAGAACTACATTAATTAATCATATATTACTTTTTTTCCTGATTCTTGTCTGTTCAAGAACGTATTCATTAATCATCTCTTTATTCTCTCCATCAGGACGTGGAACAAAAGAAGAGTGGCAACTATTTCTTCCTGGATGACTGAAACTGAAGGGTCCATTCCAAAATTCCCCCCCCACGGTGGTCCCTTGGGCCACATCTCTCCCAACAAGTGACATCATCCAGGATGATGCAGCACTGGGACCGTTTACTTTAAACACTGACTGACACCAACTCCACCATTCTGAACCAGTGGGTCCAGTTCCAGTAACTTGGAACAATCCTCCTCTGCCTCACTCTCTTCACATCAGCGCTGACCATCTAACAGACTGGACCGGTCAGAGAAATAAAGCTGACGGTTTGGTTTTCAGTGCTGAAGAGGGTGAGGCAGAGGACCCTGTTCAAGAATTATAAAGGGGACCTAGAAAGACTTTGGCTTCTGGGTGACCAATTATAATACATAGTAACTCAGATGTGTTTTTACTGGTCACAAAGTGCTACAGCGGAGAGTGAGAGACACGCCAAACACCAACTGTATATTTTGAATAAAATATTTTAATCATTATATCATTTGATGCATCTTATTAAACAGTTTCTCAAGAAGTTGAAGTGTTTGTCTTTTGTGGTTTATAACTTGTGAAGTATGGATGAACTGCAGGCTTCAGGTTGGCTGCCCCTCTGTTTAGGTGTGGCGTACTTTATAGATTTATAGACACTGTTGTCACATACCATCAGAAACCACATAGCCACAGACTCTTTGATGCATGAATGTGGCATATGGTTCACCTGATGCCATCTGATGAGGTAATATGGCTGAAAGATTGATTATTTTTATATTGAAATTGCAACTCGAGAGTTTTAAGAGGAGAAATTTAGCCTAATAACACAGCTGAACTGCCTGTAGACAAGGTAAACCAATCAGAGGCAGCCAAACCTCCATGTGCTGTGACATCACAACCACAACAGGGTAGCCTAGCCTGGGTAAGTTAGCAGTAGATGATGTTCTGGACAGTGGAATATTTCCAGTATTCTGGATATCTTCTTAAGCCCCTTCCCAGACTCATCTGCTCATCTACAACCTTCTTCCTAAAGGCCTCAGAGAGCTCAGTGCTCTAGGCATGATGATACAGAATCCAGTAACAAAATATTCACTAGCTGTGTTCTAATCATTAGCCTCCGGTTTCAATTTGACACATTTGAAGTAGTGATGTATGTAGGGGTGTGTGTACTTTTTCCACATAAGAAAATTGCATTATTGCTTATTTCAGTTTTATGAAGGATGATAATGTTAATTTTAGGGGTCGCTCGTTAAATTATATCATCTTTACCAACACTGTTTAAATGAAGATGGGATATCTGTATCTCCAAAATATGGTGAAAAAGCATAAACTTTTCATGGGGTGTACTTACTTCTTCACATGACTGTATATATAGACATACATACTTGCATACACCCAGATACACACATGATGGCTTGCAAAAAAATGGGCCAAGCGTACTGATGGTTGTGGGCTGGTCAGAGTCATGATTTAAACCCTGTGGAGAATATTTGGTCTCACTTTAAACACAAACAGCAATGTTTTCCAGCTATTCGTCAGTGCTGAGTGGAAAAATACTAACTCTTCCTTCTGAAAAAGGCTGCACAGGAAACTTGGTGTATGTTTTTTGTGTTTTAGTATCACATTTTAACATATTTATAACATATTTGGTTAGTAAAATACTTTTACAATACAATTAAATGGAAAATAAGTGAAGTTGTATTTAGTTTCAAAATAGTTTTGTTCTCTCATTGGGTACAGGGTGAGGGGGTGAGGGGGTGAGGGAGTGGGGTCAGGGTAACTGTCTGCTGGGCCAAATTAAACACCTCCACAGGCCACACTTTGGGCAGCCTTGGTCTACAGAAGCTCCTTTACCTCCAGGATGTGTAAAAAATAAAAAAGTCACAGATCAACCTTTTCAGGACAGTAAACATCCTTTGCATTTATTTGCATTCATTAACATTCCATATCAAAACTGCATCCTAAGTTCTTTGGTTTCTGCAACAACGATAGGCACTCAAGAGCACACAGAGCACACAGATCACACAGATACTACAAAAGGACATACAGTTTCCTCTCTACGTCTACTTTCATGTCTATATAGAAGGTCCTATGTACAAGGCAAAAAAAATCGGACAGTATTAGTGACACAAAGGTGCTTTTTGAAAATAAACAAACATTTAGCAAATGAACTAAAAACAGCTTTCTGAATGAGCTGCTAAAGCAACTCACACAGTTAAGGCACGACTCCAGAACTGATGGATTTTAAAAGCCTTTAATCCAGGCTCCTCTCAGTACCACAAGGACAGCAATGCAGTCTTTGAGGAAGCATCCAGTTTGGAAAAGCAATTCCATAGATGAGTTTTTCAGTCCTAGGCAGCCCTTCATTAGTGTACACTTGGTGCGTTCGAGCAGGGAACACGGTGAAGCAGCAGGAGTCCAGGAGCAGGACTGGGAAAAATGCTCCCACGTTGGGAAAATCCATGGTGCACGAGTCCAACAGTTCGGGTTCTTCTAATTCCAAAAAGTGGCTTGACAAACAAACGGACAAGGTGAAAACTTAAACAGAAACCCTATGTGTTTTAGAAAGAGCAGACTATTCACCCAGAAAAAAGCTACAGCATTTATAGTCATTAAAATAGGACAATTGGAGAACTCCATATTCTGTGTATGAGTACTGGGACAGCTGAGAGTGTCTCAAACTTAAGTGCATCGCCTTCGAGGTGGAGCAGGCAGCCCACACCACGTGAAGCTCGCATTTAGAGCGAAGGAGAACTGTACTAGTTAAGTGACTGGTAAACAAAACAAGGCGTTGAGGACATTCAGCTCTAGTCCAGTTTTGATCAAAGTTCAATACATTCAGGTCAGCAGTGAGATTTATGCGCCATGTGCGGTCATCCACTTCCTTTGTAAGTGGGAGGAAACCGCACGCAACTCAGTGCTGTCCAAAAAGTGCTCGTCTCCATTTCCTTACTGCATGGAGAAGAAACGAGGCCGCGGCCTTCGTTTTCAAACTTTTATTACATTCTGATACACATGCAAACATATATACATCGGAGGGTTCGGACACAGCAGAGAAAAACTCATTTAAATTAGAGACAGAAGATTAACCAACAACATAAAGGGATATTTTTAAAAACACCACCAAGTTACGAGAATTAAAAGTAACTCAAACTGATTGTGCACATCAGGTTTCGGCTGCAGGTGTGAACTGACCGCCTGCGTATCCCGCCTCTCTGGCGTTAGAGTGCTGAACGTAGCCCCGCCCCCTTCCCCTCATATATCCTGTCTGGTAATATGGCTGATTGACAGTTGCTCTGCCCCGTCCGCCGTAATCTCTCCGTGCTCTGGAGTTCCGCCCCCTGAAACCTCCTCCTTCTTGCCCCCGCCTCCCTCCTGCCCTAAAGGATCGGCTATAGTAGGACCGCCCACTTCTCAGATCTGCGTCTCCGTACTCCGCCTCCTCTAGGTCCCACTCATCAACAGTGGGGCCTGATTGGACATGTGAGATTAGACCTACAGAAGCTCCGCCCTGAAAGCTCGTAGCGAGATTGTCCTCTCTCTTGTTTCCATTGGCTAACTTGGTTGATTCTGCGTCTTCGAATGCCACACTCCCAAAAGACACCATCTGAACAACCGGACTAGCGCTAGACCCCCGCTGTGGCTCCATAGCAACGGGAACAGCCGCAGGCTTGTTGTCTCTGCTCCCAGAATGTGGCTGACCTCCGGCTAACCAAATAGGCTTTTCCACCTGAGGGGTCGATGACCTCTGGCCGTCTCCCTCACCTCTCTCAATTGCCGGGGCAACAGTCACCATGCTGATATCCCTCCCGTGATGTTGGGGAGGGGGAACCGGGGGCCGCTGGTGCCCTACAGATGGGGAGGGATAAGCCAGACCACTCTGGGGTGGACATGGAGGGGCGGAATATTGACCAGTATGGGGAGCAGAGTAGATTCCAGCATACACATTTGGACGAGGTGCAACAGACCAAGGCACACCTGGCTGAGGGGGCACATGCATAGGCACTGAATGAGGGTGGGCACTGTAACTGCCAGCTTCCACTGGAGGAGGAGCAGGGACCACACTCCGTACCTCAAAATGACCAACAGGTCCAACTCCTGGTCCAACCGGTGGGCCGATGTGGGGGTGGTTTGGGGCAGAGCTCATGTGCAGCATGGACGGTGGGTTATCCGATTGCCAAGGTGGAGTGTAAGGATTGGACGAAGGGGCAGGAGGAGGGACTTTAAGCTGAATCTGATAAGCATGGGTCAGCGGTGCCAAGTAGCTGACTGGAGCTATCATCTGGTTATTGTACGCCTGCAGACACAATAAAACACACAAGGTAAAGGGAGTTCTATGTACACAAAGTTGTCCGTTCATGAGGTCCACCTACCATGTACCTTCACTCATTGGCCATTTTAATCAGAAACACCCATCATTTAACTGCACTAGGTTTACAACTGTTGTACAATTTGTCACCCACCCCAAACCTATCCATCAACAGAAAGAGACTGCTATAGGACCACCACCGACCAGATATTATTTGGGTGTTGGGCCAACCAGCACTGCATTATCAGTAAACATAAACCTACAAAGTACACCTATATGGTTGGTGTATCTGATAAAATGGACAGTGCAAAATTTGACTTTCACAAAGGAAAAAAAATGCTATAAACATGCTGGACCACAAATAAACCCTTACCTTGACCCCAAGGTTAAAGAAGAATCTAAGGATGCTTGGATCTGAAAGCAATGAATGCAAAATGTCTTCAGACATCAAGAATAAAACTGCTCAAGTGAAGAAATACTTAATGTCATATAGCTTCATTGCACAGGACATCAGCCATCTTCCTCTCAGTTGTGTACATAGGAGGTTGGTACCTTTTGGCAGGTCTTTTCCGGTGCACTGGATGGAGAAGTAGACAGTAGAAGTCTGGACAGCTTCATCTTTTTCATTCTGGGGAAACCCTGGGTAGAGTGGATCCTGGTATGGGTGTGAAAGTGGTGGTAAGGAAAAGGGGTGCTGAGGGTGAGGGTGCTGGGGGTGAGGGACCAGGCCATGGGGCAAGCAATCAGGCACTGCAGTAGGTCCAACACCTGTGGGAACAGATGGGTAAACCCAGAGCTTCAGTATATTAAACGGTTTCGATGAGAAATCAATTTTACACTATTCACCACTTACGCCATTGGTAAATCTTAGACTTATGAACAAAACTACATCAAACAGCTGAAAACTGTACGAAGAAATTTCTCTTCATTTTCTCTTTTAACGAAAAGCAATGTCATAAAACAAATATGCAAATATGTTAGATTACTTAACAACTCCAAACGGACTGAAGCCAGCGCGTAATGATATGGAAGGGTAGAAGTGTTGTAAGTGACAAAGGCATTTATGTCTATTAAGTGTTATTTAAAAACTGAAAACAATCAAAACGTTTACACAGCCCAGGCTTGGTTGCAGGTAACTGATGCTAAAATGACCCGTTTTAAAGGATATCTGAGAGCGTAAGGTTGAGTGACTGGTGCCGTGAAAACCAAATTGAATGTGTTCTGTAGTGAATGTAGCTCTGAGCCAGCTGTTCCTTTCTTTCTATCAGCATCACCTATCAGTGAGCTCCCACACCACCAATCAGTGACCTCTCTTAAAATTGTGTTAGGCCGTTCAGAGGTGGAATTGAAATTTGACGGGTCAGAATTTTAAAACTGTCATCTTTTTAATTCCTGGCATCATTTTTGAATACTGCCTTTAACATTACCGCTATACTACCCAGCTTAATGTGGACTCTCAGAGAAGTCTTCTAGCCCACTGAAGTGAGTGTACTGAAAAACAAAAAACAGAAAGAAACTTACCTGCGACAGGTGAGGCTGCAGGCTCATAGGGGCGTGGCTCTGAGGGGTGAGAATAGGGCGGAGTTGGGGCAGAAGAAATGGCAGCAGAGGGTGCTAGCATGGGGGCAGACGTAGGTGCAGGGGTCATATAAGGGGGGTAGTGGGGTATCATGGGAAAAGTACCAAGCCCGATAGGGTGAAAGGGAGTATGAGCAGACGAAAACTGTGGAACTGTGGCAGCTGATACGTTAACAGGGGCAGGAGGGGTAATGGAGTGTGGTGCATGGGCAGGCTCTGACAGGGTGTGGGCAGATACAGAAACTGGGGCAGGAGGGGTACTAGAGGCACCTGGAACTTCAGCTGGACGAGGAGGTGTTTGGACAGGCACTTTAGTATCAGAAAGTGATGATGTGGGGGTAATATGAGAGGGAGTGGGGGTAGGTACTTGGGCAGGGGTAGTTACCAATGCAGGAGTGGTTGCAGTGGCACTCTGAGATGGAACCGGGTTAGGTTCAGGACCCCGGGATGTTGCTGAGGTAGTCTCGGGAAGGGCAGGGGTGGTTACCAGGTCACTTTCAGAGTGGGCTGGGGTAGGTAAAGTGGTCGGGGTAGATAAAGGGGTAGTGCTAGGCTTAGATGTAGGTGTAGTTAGAGGTACAGAGGTAGTTTGAGAGATGAGTGGAGAAGGAACAGTGGTGGTTGTGGGTACTGGGGCAGATGGCGAAGGGGCAGGATTAGACACAGGGGCAGCTGGAGGCACTGAGGCTATGTGAGAAGGGTTAGGGGTCAGAGCAGAGGACAAAGGACTGGAGACAGAGTTAGTAACACTGGGGGCAGTTTGGGATTGGGTAGGGGCATTTTGAGGGGTAGGTGCTGCTGTGGCTGAAGCAGACGCTTGGGCAGAAGCTGTTTGAGACTGGGTGCTGGCATTTGTTTTAGACCCAACAGGGGCAGTTTGAGACCGGGCAGGGACAGCCTGAGCAGATCCAGACGTTGTTGTAGATGCGACAGAGACAGTTTGAGACTGTCCGGGGATATTTTCAGTAGACAAAAGGGGTGCTGTTGAAGGAACAGATGCAGTTTGAGCACGGGCTGGGGTGGTTTGAGCAGAAACAGAAGCAGGTGCAGGTGCAGATGGAGGAGGGGCAGCTTTAGTGGCCTTAGGACCTGAAGGAGCAGGTGAGTTAGCAGAAGGTGGAGTGGAGGGAGGAGAAGAGTTGGGCTTCTCTTTGATGGAAGGGGAGATTCTTTGGTCTTGAACCACAGGGCCTTTCTTCTGGAACACATTGCAGACCATTAAATTATTAGGATACAGCAAATAGGAATCAGAACCAATCTAGACATGTTCAAACGGATGAGGTATAGGTTATCTAAAGCCCGATCCAATTCTAATACTCAAACTATCAGGCTGCAGTAACCAAATTGTATTAAAAAAGGTTTACTAGAAAACATAATTTTTATGAGCAAGGAACTGGAGGTGAAACTTACTCCATGTTTTCCCCTATCTGCTTTCTGCTCAGGTCTCTGAGATGGGTCTTTAGTCTCTGAAGCAAACAAGAAAACAAACAAACAAACAAACAAACAAACAAACAAACAGGTCAGGTTATATAAACTGTATAACCTAAAGGCCATTAAAAGAAAACAAATATCAGAGATTCAGGAAAACGGGACTGCCTCAGGAAGAAGGATTACTTGCTTAGCCAGCCAACTTTCAGCTTGGTTCCATCTGACCCTGGATTTTTTGTCCCATAAGAGTGGATCACTTTTTTCACCAGGCCAAATCACCATGGAAACGTATGCTGCGTGCCTAACCTACTCCAGGGCCGCTCAAGTTCAGGATTTCCAGAATTTCTGAATATAAAAACCAAACCAAACACACCCACAATTCGCATAACTCACCCATGTCTGCCTTCTTTCGGGAGCCTTTCCTCTCTGCTCTTTTGCCACCCTCACTGACAGCAGCAGCAGCCGCCACCTGCGTTCACACAAACACACCCATTAGTAAATCTTAAGACAACAACAAGGACTATGAGGCCAGCATGACAGGAACGCATTCAGTTGTGAAGTGTATCCTGATTAAAAACTTTTGGGATGTTTTTTGAACACGCTGAGTGATGATTATAAACCTATTTTTGGATGGGTTTAGAATGGATAATTAGGCTGAACTAAACTTTGTTAATCAACGATCTGATGACAGCTGTTGTGGATACAGTAACCGAACAGCTATTTTGTGGTTTTAATCAGTACATCAATGGTCAAGTTCAGAGAGAATTCTTTCAGACCACAGACCAAATTTCAGCCCTGACTGAAGAGCTACTCTACCTGTGCACTGGCTTCAAGGCTTGGGAAATTGTTCTCATCTTTGTGCAGAAGCTCCAACACCAGAAGCTCCTCTTCCTCCGCAGGTGACACCCCCAGCACACCAACGTCCTGTTCAGACTTCCTACATGCACATACAGAGAAGGCAGAGATCACACACAGATCACTAGGACTGGGGCTGCTTATCGATTTATTGATTATTATTGATGAGGGTCATGAAATCGAAAAGGGGAATTTAATGTCAAGATGCCTTTTACTGAAAACAGTGGATTTTTAAATTCACTGAAAACTCCACATCAAGTCTGACGTGCTTTTGATATTTTGTATACTCAATGCGGTATAACAGAATCCATCGAGTAGTAATGGCCACAAAGTTATTTTATAGCCAATGTGTCAACTTTTTAGCCAGTGTAAAAAAAGAAAAATAAAAACACCAAAAAAAAACAAAACAAAGACTCTCAAAGGAGCTCTTCTTCAGTGCTCTCTGTGTGTGGTGATGTTTAAGCAATTGAATCAAAGCTAAAGCACTCAAAGGGGCAAAAAGAACACAAGCTCTGAAGTAAAAGACAGCGTTTGTATTAACTTGTACGTTTTCAAAACCTGACGCTTTTCTTTTTTGGTGTTACAACTCGAACTTAGTGGGAAGAGGCTTTATGTTCTCTGGTGGAGATGGAAACTGTTCTTGAGATATACAGATTTATCAATTTCTGGACATGTGATTAGTGTCCCACCCCTACAGGTGCCGCACACATCATTTCCTGATGTGGACAGCCGCTTGTGAAAACAGTACTACTGCGGAGAGCATGTAAATTTGGCTGGAAAAAAGAACTCTAAAGTTGGTTTTCCTCAGTTTATCTGTTGCCACAGTAACTGTGTTTTACTATAACCAGTTTAAGCATAACATACCAAAAGAAATGAAATCATTCACAGGTCATCAAGTGAGACTGTGTGAGAAAGAGATTGTCTCCGTTTGTGTGTTTGTCTCATAATTGACCTGGTGCCAGCATTCTTTCCCTGGGACTGAGCCTCTTCGGGAGTCTGTGGGGGCCAAGAGTGTTGTTTCTGCACTCGGTTGCTGGGGGCGGAGCCTGCAGCTGCCTGGGAAGCATACGGAATTGACACTGATCTGACTGGCTTCCTCCCACCTGATCACAAACACAACAGGGAAGCCGTTATTAATGCTGCACAATACAAAGATACGATTTGCCTGCATTATTTTAACCAAGATTATTTACATTTGTTGTGTTGATTCATCAAAACACCCTCAGAAACTCATTTTGTACTGTGATTGGTCAGAATGCTCACAGCACACAGAAATATCTGGGATTGGATGAAGAGCTCAGTCACATATTGCAGCCTTTTACCACCCCAGTACTGCCAATATCGCCCCGAGCCGAGACACTTCATTTAGCTGAAAACGATCCGATCTGTGTGTTTTCATAGATGGTACAGCCGCACAGCTAGACTGACAATAAATAAGTAAAGCCACTTAATTTTACTATGTGCACGATGTGACTGATGTCTTTATTTTTATAATGACTATTTCATATTGACTTATGATCCAGACTGATTGACTTCCCAGATGATTTGGCCACCAGTTACTTTAATATTCTGCAGTGAAATCACTTCATTTTTGAGTTAGAGTGATGTGAAATCATAGCCCCACAATGTGTACATTGGTGGTATACTTACAGTTCAGAGTGTATACCACCAATATACACATTGTGGAGCTATGATTTCACATCGCTCTAATATGCGTGAAGTAGTCTGCTCATTTCTGTTGATTGTGACTGCTCTATTACTGCTAACTTACAGTTTTAAACCAGAAACAGTTCAGCACTGATGCCAGCCAAGCAGAATGTTTCCTTTCATTCCCAACCAGTAGTGACTCATGGGTAAAAGACATGATCAGAGTGTATTTTGTTCATGGTTTTAGTGGCACGCAGAAAATAGTGCCCATGATTTGACAAAAGGCAGCTTGCTTAGATGCAGCTGCTGATACTATAGGCCTCCTTTTTAAAATTAGTTCCACACTACAGATATTTATTTCCGACTGCTTCTGAAAACGATCCTCACTGATGAAGTTATGGATATAGTCCGTTTATGGTACGATCAGAAATGGAAAGTGGGATTCCAGTTTGTCTTGAAAATTTCTGCATAATTTAATCACTGAACAAAGTTCAGAGAGTTCATTCGGAGTGGTTTGATGTGAAATAGTTAATTGTAGAGAAACTTAGTGACTCAGATTTCTTTACAATGGTGGTGATCGGAACCACACAAATGTAGCCATTTTATTTACTATCCAAAACCACCAGTGAACCTCTTCTGAGTTTTATATGGAATACTGATGATAGTACAAATAAATAAATCCAAATCTGGAAAAAAGGTGCTCTGTATGTATTAAGAAATATATTAGGGCAAAAGGTTCCCAAAACTACCACTCTCATTCACCAACTGTTCTTAAGACGAAAATTCTTCTTAAAACCTCCTTACGCAGTCTTCATGAATATTCTGACATTCACCAGTGCTTTCCTATGTGAGATGTGTTCCTTGGTAAGAACAGAATTCACACACACTCAAGAGCACAAAGGTGTGACCGCAGAACTGTTTTAAGAACACGTCACGAATCCAACGTTTTTCTTAGGACCTTTCTCAAGACCAATTTGGACTCGGTAAGTTTTTTTTCCCCTCATGCAACGACTCAGATATGACGACTCTCAGACTATAAACAAGCCACAGAGGACTTCACACCTAAACTTTAATTAAAACAGTGTAATTCCCCTTTAAATGTGTCCGATTCTGGAATGGATAACATTTTGTGCAGTTCTAGCTGTCGCTGTTTGTGTGTTTGTGTATCAGAAAAAGAGAATGTGTGTGACTGGAGCATCACCGATACCATTTGTGTTTCCGCTGCCATTGGTTACAGAGTGCTTCTTGCCCTTCTCTGTCACGGTGCACCAGGACTCTTCTGAGGGAGTGCGCAGGTTCCACAGTGGAACAGTGTGTCTATACACACACACACACACACACACACACACACACGTCAAATATGAACATATGAACAAATCTGGTAAAATTCTCCACATTACTGATACTAAATGCAAGTCTGGACCTGTAGGGAGTCTCAGTCTCTCATCCTTGTACACGCACACGCACACACACACACACACACACACACACACCACACACACATAGAAAGAGTCATACTTCTGTCCGAGCTCCTCGATGAAGACAGTAACGGGTCCATCATCAGGGCTGACATCCTGGATGTACGCACTGTAGTAGCGGCCAGTATTGTTCAACCGCACCTGAGAGAGAGAGAGAGAGAGAGAGAGAGAGAGAGAGAGAGAGAGAGAGAGAGAGAGAGAGAGAGATAGGGAATGTAATTCATAAATAATAATGAGCAAATAAATGAACATTCCCTCTCAGGCTCTGTTTATATCTATATCTACTATCTCAAGGGATCTAATCACAAGTGGACAGTGAGATGTATGATGTTTACACCTTTACATTTCCATGTGTGTCAAATGAGACTCCAGTAACCACAATGACCAGATTTTGGAAGGGTTCTGTCCACATTCACCACGACAGTCTCTCACTACAGTTGTTGTCAGACATAAATGCTCCAAGTTCTTATTCATTGTTGTGGTAAATTTTATTATTGTTATTTATGATAGGCTCACAAAAGCATATTGTCAGTACTTACAGAACAATGAACAACTGCTGGTTTTAGTGCCGTACAGAATGTGAAATAGTGAATAATAATAATTGTACTCAGTATTTTTGATGGCAGTTTTTAAATTTGCGCCACGTCTGTGTGGCAGAATAGCGCGATATGTATTGTGTATCTTTCAGCAAAGTGATTTGACACTTTTGTCATCTTGCCCACCGCTAGTAGACTGTCACAAACGTTTAGTTCAGTGTTTTTTGGTTTTTTTTTAATCTAGCCATAGGTACTGCAAGTTGGGCTTGAGCAAAAATGTTGACTGTCTGGGCTGGTGACACAACCTATAAACAAACAGGAGACAGATACTCTTTTCGTCTACGCATGTCAGGTCTTCGTTGTTTTAAAGGATGCATTAGGACACTTTAGCACTCATGCTACAGATACTATGTGGTCTTATACATCCTTGACCAGAGGGCCATTTCTTGTGATAAGTAAACAAGTAAGTATAAAGATTTTTAATTTTCTTCCTGATTCCAAAAAAATAACAACTGAATCTTTTTTGTTCTTTCAGTATGTTTTGTGTGGGCCCCAAAGTAGAACGCTGTTTAAGGCCTGCAAAAGTCCAGGAACAGCTCTGACGACCACCTCCAAACGTGGTTTGAGCATTTGCATCACCATACATCTCCAAAACCCTCTTTACACCAGCACTTAATATTGTCCACAAAGCATGTTAATGCCAGGTGTAAATGGGCTTCACCATCTCAACACACACACACGTTTGTCTTGCTGTATGAGGACGTCCATAGGTTTCTACTGATTTTTGTGTTACTGTAGCTAAATAATACTACACCTAAACCTACACCCTAACCTTAACCTCAGTATAAAGGCAATCTTTCAGGTCTTTTAGTTCTCAAATCAGAAAAGTAATTGAGTGAAAACAACACATGCTCAAGTGAGGACCAGCAAAATGTCCTCACTTAAGCAAAAATTTCATGTAGTCTTATCATAGTGAGGACATGGGGTCCTTACAAGTATAGCAATACAAACACACACACACACACACACACACGCGCTCCCCCACCCACCTGGCACTTGTCTCCAGCTGTGTACTGCATCCCTGCAGCCATACAGAAGTCTCTCCTCTGCTGAGCTGAAAAGACAAAGAGCTTAATAAACCTTCACCATCTATTATTTTGCTGGAGTTTATTACACTCTGAAATCATCATGTAAAATCTGTTTGCCACATATAGAGCTCAAGTTGAGTGTTTATGCCTGAAAACAATCACACTGCATCGTTTGGTTATAACATTTGAAATATTATGAACTGAACAGCTGTTTTTGTGGCAAAACTCAAGGCAGGCATGTCAAACTGGGGACCTTCCAGGCCAAAGTGCTGCAGATATTAGCGTTTACCCTCATCTAATGCTCTGAATTCAGTTCATGACGGCCTTCCTAATGAGCTGATGAGCTGAATCAGGTGTGCTTTAATGCAGTAGTGGACTGCAGCCTGAGACATGTGGCTTAAGCTTTACAAATACAAAACACGACTGGGTTCACCATTTTAAATGTCTGCTGCAAATGACTGATGTACACAACATCATTAAGCCTGTTGTATACACTTACAGTCATAATTAAAACCCTGCTGTGAACTAGACATGTTCTGCTTGTAGAACTGGTTCTACAGATTCAGAATAAAACTGAATTACACTGCAAGCAGGGACGTCAACTAAAAGTCCCTTTTCATCTATAATGGAGACGGCAAAAGCACTGGAGTTTGGGTACATAGAGTTTTACCTACTGGGACAAACTAGTTCCCCCTCAGGGTCGATTATGCAATTCCACACAAATTATATTACAGAGCAAAATAAATATTTAAAAGCCTTTTCTCATTACTTTAAACCTCCTTAATATCATGTCCATTAGTTTGTGTTTAATGCCTTTTATTGAGCAATCTTGTTGTTCTTCTTGTGTATGCTACTACTGTAAAGCGACCCTGGGTATGAGTGTATATGGCTGTATATGCAGTACTGCGCAAAGGTTACAGGCCAAACTTATTTATCTGTAAATGAATAAATAAAAATAAATAATTGGACTCAAACAAAATAATTTGCAGATTTTTGCCTTGTTTTTAAAAAGAAGTGACAAATAGAGAATTACACTGTATATCATTTAACACATTCTTGTTGATCCAAATCCAATCACTTTAACAAAAATGACTAAGAGCTACCAAACTTTCAAATGGGAGAATGAATGAATAGAAACAATTTTACTATTGAAGACATTGTCAAACTTCAGAAAAGGTAGAAACTTCTACTCCCACATTTCTGAACAGATGAATGGTAGAAATAAACACTACCAGTAATGTATTAAGTGGGAGCTGCAGAGGGAGTGGTCTGTAGTACCTTTTTTTGACCGCATCCACACATCATACTCCACATTCCTGAAGATGCCGGGGTTCAGGGACTCCTGGGCATCGCGAGGCAGAAAGCCACGGCCTCCTCCTCTGGATTGGCCCCGCCCTCGACCCTGAGGCACAAACGATAAATGACTGAGAAAGAGGCAGGACTAACAGAGACACTATGGGAAAGGCACACAAGCCACAAGGTGGTATAAGCTTGCACAAGCATACCTTATAAGGTGGTCTGTTGTTCACACTGGTCGTCTTGCCAGTAGCTTCACTGGACCTGATTAGAACACACACACACACACACACACACACACACACACACACACACACACACAGCATTAATTTCAACAAAAACATGAACATTTAAGTATTTATACAAACAAAGAAAAAGCCACTCAGTCAAACACACACAAGCCTCAGATGAGTCAGTGTGTATGTAAATAGCATCATTAATTTTTAGGGCTGGGTTTTGTACTTCAGAGCTACCACAAAACCTTTGTTTATATGAGGGAAGAAAGGGCGTAGTCCAACCAGCAGATATTCAGAGCTTCCTGCATCTGTCCGACCTTTTTACCTGAGAGACCACACCTGCTCTAAAGCAGCCGTTTCCCATGATGCCATGAGTTGATTTTAAAGCAGCTCTATGTAAGATTATTTAGTTGAAATTGAAAGAAGCAGCATTACTGAGTCAAGAATGCTGTGTACGCGCTGCTATGAGACACCCTATAAAGCCTGAAATAGTAACTGATAAGTCAGAGGTGTCACGTCGGATTTCACAGGATAGCATACATCATTTACGTAACGTCACACTCGCACAGACACATAAAGAAGGTCCACCTTAACGTTTAGGTCTCAAATGCAAAAATAACACTCCACTGATGACGATATGATGACAACAGAAGATAATTCACTCATCCTCAAAAGACAGTCCTTCACCAAGTTTTCTCTGAGTTCTCTTTGAATACTCTTTCAATGTGCTCGCAATCATCAGATTCATCCACGCAGGAAAGGGGTCTGAAGCACAAGTCATGCTAAAATGTTCTTACATACGCTGCAAGCTAGTACATATTTCCACCAGAGAGGTCTCCAAATCCCCAAAGCTTACATAGTGCCGCTTTAATAATACATTTTGGGCCAAAACCTAATTGTTAAACTACCGTAAAACAATGTCTGAAACATCAGGCAGCGAATTCATAACCATTTCATGTAAAAATGTTTTGTGAGTTTTTAGAGGCATTCAAGTATTCAGATGTCTGGTTCTTAAACAATTCTGACTTAATAAGTTTCTCTAGAATAGAGCACTTTAAACCACTCTGAACGACTTTGTTTGCATCTTAACTATTTAATTATGCAAAACTTTGATCATATAAACTGAGATTATATAACAGCTGTGTGTTCATGTGTATATTGAGTTCTTTTTACAACGGATCTGAACGTGATTCAGCCACCAATGAAGACGTGTGGAGATGGTTCATTCCACATGGTTTCATGTACATGCTTCCAACAAACCACAGCAAAGTGTGTTTGGAAGCAGAACAAGACCATCCTCCTCAGGGGGTCTCAGTCCACTTATAAGGTGCATACAAGGTATCGATTGGCAGCGTTTGTACTTGTTATAACGAACTGCACGAACAATAATCACACCAGGATTTGATTTCATCGAACCAAAAACTGCAAACTGCACACACTCACCAGAAGTCCTCTCCCTCGTCCAGGTCGGACTCTTCACTGCCCTTAAACCCCTCTACATCAGCAGCCTCATCCCTCGCTCTTGACCCTTTTGTGCTTGCTGTTACCACACTCCGGTCCACACCACACACACGCTCGTACAGCAGTTCATAGAGAATAGCTGAAAAAGACACACCACAGTTCTGTCACTATCAACTATATTAGAAGTGAGAAATTTAACTATTACTTGTATCAGGAGCTAACTGACTTAACTGAACAACAACAAATGATGTACAGCTTTTCAAAGACTCCAAAATACTTTATAGGAACATAAGAGTATTTTGTACTGTAAATGAAACCAGCAAAAAAATGTATAACAGGCATCATCATCATGCAGATGATCAAGTAATCACTGCCGATTTAAGTGATTTTCTTTTTTAAACCAAGTAATCAAATTTAATCGTTTGTGATTAAGTCCTAATTCCTTTCATTAAACAGCAGATTAATTAATACTCAAATCACTCACATTGACACATAGCAGCATTTTTGACAAAGGACACTGGGTAAACACTGTCGTAATGGTTGCCATTGAGGAAGCAGAGTCGCACCTGGAATGAGACAGAAGAGAGAAACCAAAAATGAATTAATAATTCCACTACAACATTGTGACTTTCCCATTAATATTTTCCAGCTCCTGAGTGGACTGTGTGTGGGGGTGTCAGTGTAAACCTTATCAGGGTAGCCGTTCTCTGTGATGTTCACTGGTGGCTCCCCTGGATTCTGATAGATGATAAAGTCATGTCTTGAGGAAAGAACAAATAAGACAAAGCAATTAAAAAAAGGCCAACCACATCAAAAGAGCAAGTGTGTTATACACAGTTATAACAATGTACTGATGTGTCTAACAGTACTGAACTCTAAACCAATCGCTGGTCAACCACAGACAAAGTAGTCACTGGGGAGGGACGGTATGTGGTTACAGTACGTGACCACTTGCAACTCTGCCTCGCTGCATCCTATTCATTTCAATGTAGAGCTCTGCAACATTATAAAAGCTTAAAAAGTAAGTTAAACAAGTTCGTATTTCAGTTTTGTAACAGCAAACAGTGCATCAGATGATTTACTGCAGGATATGTTCGATACGGTTTCTTAATTTCCATAATAACGCAGAAACGCCCACCAGCAGCACGCAGAGACATCTGACATGATAAAAAGTGATGAGAAAAAGCTGAAAGTGGATGAGTAATGTTAACAGTTTTAATGATGTACTGTGGTAAAAGATCCAGTGATTATTAACAGCGCCAACATCATCCACTTTATCAGCTCCACTGACCATACAGGAGCACTTTGTAGTTCTACAATTACAGACTGTAGTCCATCTGTTTCTCTGCATACTTTGTCAGAACCCCCATTCAGCAGGTACTATTTGGGTGGCGGATCATTCTCAGCACTGCAGTAACACTGATGTGGTGGTGGTGTGTTAGTGTGTGTTGCGCTGGTCTGAGTGGATCAGACACAGCAGTGCTGCTGGAGTTTTTAAACACCACAGTGTCACTGCTGGACTGAGAATAGTGCACCAACCAAAAATATCCAGCCAACAGCGTCCTGTGGGCAGCGTCCTGTGACCACTGATGAAGGACTAGAGGATGACCATCACAAACTGTGATCGTCTCTGACTTTACATCTACAAGGTGGACTGACAAGGTAGGAGTGTCTAATAGAGTGGACAGTGAGTGGACACAGTAACTGTAGAACCACAAAAAGCTCCTGTATGCTAAGCAGAGCTGATAAAATGGACAATAAATGTTGACACAGACAGGTGTACCTAATAAAGTGCTCAGTAAGTGTATGATACCTGTATTTATATGAGTCTGAGTGTGTTTTAATGCTTTTAAACTGTTTTAACATATTTTTACAACACTGCAACAACACTAAAAACCATAATCACTTTAGAAGCTTAAATTATGATAGGAAATATGGTCCCATCCCTCATATTCACTGTGAAATATTCTTACTTATAAAGGACAGCCAGTGCACTTATCTCCACCTGCCCAACCCAGCTCTACAGAGAAGAGACAAAAGAGGAAAGAACACAGAAGTAGAGAGACAGAGAGTTAAAACCATTCTGATCAAATGAATGAAAAAAATAATTACCTGCCATTTATAATACTGTGTTTGGATGCAATGAATATTAATGAACTGATCTGAACAAGAAAGAGAGCTTCTTTTCGTTTGTTACTGAACACACAGCTTGCTAAGCAGGCAGGCTGGCAACATCACATAAATCTAGTAAAATACTGAAAGATGAAACACCTCAACAATGGACGCAGCAAAACATTTGACCTGCAAATCAACAGAAGTCATGAAAATCCATCACAGCTGTGAAGGTTTTAGCTTTAACAGACTGAGCTGTTACCTGTGGATCCTGAAGCCTCTGCAGGTATTCGTCAAAATCACCTTCGATAAACTGTCAAACACAAAACAGATGATGTGAAACAGTCTCATTACAGACTCACAGCTCAGTAAAAGCACATTATTATGAGTAAGTGGACAGATTCTCTGAGAGAAGAATTACAGCTCACGTACCGACTCGTACAGCTCTCGGTTCTTTCTGAGATACTTCACGCACTCCGCTCGGACCTTGGTGTGCAGCCCCTGGCAGCGCAGCACCTGTCAATCAACACAGAGAAAGGTGGTAATTCTAAGACACCTGTTACAATGGGCAGCGCAGCTTTGGTTGGCTTTGTCACATGGCAGAAATAAAGTGACACTCAAGCCAAAATTAAAAACGTAACCCCATCACTACACCTGTTGTAAACCTGCCTACGCGACTCCTACAGCAGTTCTGCAGTGGTCTATAAAGAGAAATCTTCCTTTTTGAAGACTAAAACCACCTTCTGATGATGTATCCGGAAGGTGGGAGGAACTACAAAGTCTGAAATACTGCAAGCCCTTTAGGGTGGATGTTAGAGGACGGGAACCCATGTTGAGTCTTGGTTCCTCTCCAGGTTTCTTCCTCTTGCTCTGAGGGAGTTTTTTTTGCCACTGTTGCCCCTGGTTTGCTCATCTGGGGCTTGGTATCAATTTCTTTGTGAAAATGCCTGCTGTAAAAAGTGCTGTATAAATAAATCTTGAACTGAATTCCCTGCTGGCTAACTAACGCAGAAGGAACCCAAATACCTAAAATTACTTCTAGGAAGCAGAAACTCATGTCCGTATTTATTAGCCTCTACACCAATGTGAGCACTCAGGATTTCTTTACCACTGTTGGGTTACCAATGATTGTAAGGCATTGAAGTGAGTACTGTTGGGAGAGAACACTGATGAAGGACAATACAAAACTGCAGTAAGGTTACAAAAAAAAAAAATGCTAAAACACTGATGAGGTTGAGTGAATAGGATAACATGACAAATAACATACTACATGCTAGTTCTAGCTGAGAATTCCCTTTAAGGCTGTAGATATGTGTAGCGTGTGCAGAGACCACAGAAATGAAAAGAAACGTTTGTTCTTGAAAGGGAAAACAGGACCATCATTATAAGACACATACACGTTTCATATTAAATATGTTTCTAAGAAAAGTTCTCAGGATTTGCATACAATCGACTTGTAAGGACACAATGTTCCTGCACTGCACCCTGTAATGCCTAGAGTACAAGCATTTACAGTGGCAGCTACGCTCTACGAATTAATGGTTCTGGAAGCGTTCTTTAGTAAGGAAAATGGTTCTATAGAGAACACTCAAAGAACCCTCTGCATGGTGAAATGGTTCTTCAGATTGAAGGGGAAGTGCTGTAGATGCAGATTTCTGAAAAGGGTTCTTCCATTGTTTTGATGTTAAATTTCTAACAACAAAGGAACCATGTTTAATGCTATAAAGAACCCTTTTCAAAAAGGTTATATATATAGCACCATATATAGCACATTCTCCATCAGTCTAAAGAATCCTTTCACAGTGCAAAGAACGCTTTAATCATGCAAAGCGTTCTTTGAGTGTTCATGTTTCTATATAGAATCATTTTCCTTACTAAAGAACCAGTGAAGAACCATCATTTTCGAGTGTGTACACTCAGCCAAGACGACGCTTTTCTCCAGAGTTACTGTCTTTAAAGCACCGTAGCATTAAGTGGTTTCATGGAATCGATTGTGTGCGTGGAGCGGTATTCCTGAAACATTTTCAAGATCTAACTGTCAGGCACTGACAGCGTTTCACTAACTAGCAACATGTAATTTGGCCTATGTTATTGATTATACTCTAAAATGAAGAATGCATGGCTTTGACGTCTTTGGGGGTGGGTTTTAGAGGGAAAGCTTGAGGGAGTGGTCTCATTTTAGGCAGATTTCATTGTGATCCAGCACCAAACTTTTAGTCCCAGATACATATTCAATAAGAGCTGTATAATTCTCCCATAGCATTCTCACCTACTAGACTTCTATAAGTATGTCTGTAGTATTACTATTGATCTTTTTTATGAGTAACTATGAGTGGAAATGATGTCATGTGTGAATAATGGTGCTTATCTCAGATTCCAGCAATCTGAGTTTCTAATCTGAGTTTTGACCTGAATAAAGTGAAAGAGGACAGCCACACTGACATGTAGGCATCTCTATCATTCTATATAGTAAATGATATACAATATATAATCTAACTCACTGAACAGTCATACTGAGATGAAGGCCTCTCTATCAGTCTCTATAACTCACTGAATCCCACCACTACCATCAGCCCATGTGGGAAACTGAAGTTGCCACAACCTCAACAGGTCTCACCCCATAAGAGACTTTCCCGCAAAACAAGGCCGAAATACAAACACAAACATGGTCACGCATTCACAATACGAACCATATTAAAGTCACGAAACTAGTTTGTGTTTGATATCAGAACTTCACACGCAGTGTTAACTTAGCCAAGCAGCTAACAGCACTTTCCTGAGTGTTGCTTGCTAAACGAAGCTTAAGCTTTATTCGAATCTTCCGGTTCCACCTTAAATGGTGCAGCAGTTACTTTACGGCGCCTCAGGCGCCAGAACGTGACTGCTCACCATTTAAGGTGGAGCGGAAGAATTCCAACAAGAAGCTGGCGGATAGGAAGCTAAATCCAGCCTCGTACTTGCTAATGAGCCTGCAGCGTTAGCACAGTTGCTATCTAGCTTAGCCAGTTTAAATTAGTTAATCTGCCAGTCATACAAAATGTATAAAAACAGCTGCAATAATCTATGAACAATGCGCTTCTTTACTAACTGACCCAGACAGACAGCGGCACTGTCCTCGGTGACACTTCGTTAGCATAGTTAGCCCTCATCCACAGCTATGCTGCTAGCTGGCTAATCTGCCAGTCATGCTGAGAAGCGATGCAGCGAAAAAGTTATTCAGCCTGCAAAAAAGGATCTTTATCAGATTCTGGGCAGAGAAAATATCGCCGTATCTGCAATGACTGTGTTTTTCGCTTGTGTTTATGTAGCAGACCCTTTTCCACACTAGCTGAACAAAGTAGCGCACCAATATAAACCCTAGTCTTCTAATTAGGGCGCCTAAGTAGTGCGCAGAATCCTGACTGCCGCCGGGCGCTGAAGCGTTCTGCGCACTAGCTAAGCGCCCTAGTTAGTACGCGAACGCGCATGTTGGGGCGCGGCCGTAAGGTTATCCGTGGTAGTTTATACACAGCTAACCTAACTAACCCATGAACCCAAAATAGCAAACTGTTGCTAACTTAACCAGATCATTAACATCTTGTAGGCTTTTATGGTTTAGTTTAACTGCGGTAAAAACCAACTAACCTGCTCTGCCACGGCTCTGAACAGGCAGGAGCCGTCCTTGGCGATCTTCCTCCGGTAAAGTCCGTTTGCCTTCAGGTACTCGTCCATGAGTTTCTCATCCAGACCCTTATCGGCGTTGTTGCTCTGCATGTTTGCAGCGCGGGTTGCCATGATCGGCTACACTAACCTACACTGACCTTTCTCCTGTTCTTAACTACATCCTAACGAGGTCGAACAGCGGGAGAAAGAAAAACTCAGTCAAGCCAGCAGCATCTTAAAGACTCTCCCTTTCGGTTTCACGGAAAAGAAACTTATATTCGCGTCTCGACTCGAGGACAGGAAAGTTATGACAGCCGTTGAACAAGAAAATACAAAAAAATTCAGCAAACAAACCGAGTAAAGTCTGTAAGCAGTCTAAAATAGGCGAACACGCCACCCAACAAACATGGAAACAAAACTAATCAGACGCCGCTTCAGCTCAGCAAACAGTTTCGGTTTGTGTTCAGGGTTTTGCTTTCCACCCGCATTCCAACAAGCCCCGCCTCCATATCCTATGATTGGCTAATCGCTGTACGTGGCTTGAGAGTAGCCAATCCTAGTGCAGGGATTGCGATACTAATACCCAATCCCAGAGCAGGGGACAGGGACTCGTCGGAATATGGGTGGAGGAAAACCCTTAACGCTGTTTGACAGGACCAGGTGAGGAGGGCACTGGGAAATGTAGTCGAGCTGTTAAACTTCACGTGACAAACTGGTGGAAATCGAAACTACACGCCCCAGTTTGCAACAGCGTCTAAAGATTACTCAAAGTTATAAAACTATCATTTGATTCGTCGTATTTTAAAATGAAACCCGAACGTCATTGGCATTTATTTTCATTATCAATAACTCTGAATGACTAATCTAGCTACAATAAACTTAACTACAATAAAACTGCTAAACTGGTTCCTTTCTTATGGGGCAAGTTAGGCCTGTCTACAACAACAGAGGCTGCTGTGACGCTGAGCTTATGTGTTGATCAATATGCTCAGTCTGCTGCTCTTTCTCTATGTTTTACCTAAATTTGAAGGAGAATTTAACCATTTTTTTTTCAAATTTTGTGTAAATCGACTGAGTAAATTAATTGTTGAGATGTAAACTAAATCATTCAGAGTCGTCTCATGGGAAACAGTCCATTGTAGAGAAACTTACAGACTTAGATTTCTTTACAGTGGTGGTGAAGGAATCAGGGGTCGCCATGTCAACAACAGCTTACATGATTTTAATTTTTTAAATGGTTTAAATGATTTTATGGTAGTATTTTTAAGTGTTTTGCTGTCTTGCACATCTTACTTAAAAGTGCAATTTGTAAGATTTTTAGTTTAAAACATTCCAAAATCAACAGAATGTGAATAAATGACAGTTTTAAGTTATGTCAGAGTCATCTATGTATCATATTGCAGAGATACTGTATTTACTGAAGTTGGCACGCTAACCAGCTAGCACTAGCCCATCTTGTAATACCACTTTGTACCTCAAGAGGCAACAATGAGTCACTGTAGCATTGAGTATGGCATCAGTGCAGCATAGACCACTGTAGTCGTGTCGTCTTTTTGTAGTCGGCCGTAGAGAAATCGAGCGTAGAGTTCCTAATATGGGCATAACATGGACTACAGAATGACACACAACTGCAGTGGTCTATGAGAGTATGACGGAGTAGTGCTGCCCCAAGGATGTGTTTTAATGTCAGTCATTTTAAGGTCCCGTCCCCAGTTAGACCATGAAAAGAACAGTAAACACAACGATCAGCAGCAAACAAAAGAAGTGACATAAACAGAAGCAAAACAAGGCTTAACACTGGCGTTGCTTTCCGCCGCTGGAGAGGCTCCTGGAGAGTAAAGGAATGAAGTTTAATGCTGAACTTGCAACATTTCTTCTAGACTGGTAGGTAAACAACTGGTAAAGCTGACATTGGCCATTTAGCCATAGCTTATTAAGGTAGCTAATTGTTTGAAATTACTGAAAGTGTTAATGTATTTGCAAAGTTAGAGGATGGACTGTGCATTTCCTTCTTTTTATACGATAGGGGTGGACACCACAACTTTCTGGTGATATGTTGACCCCTGTTTGTTTGGGGTGTGAAGAATGTGACAGGTTGCGTCATCGTACACATTGCTCCTTTCACTGGATGTTAACTTGAAATGTGCACTTTGGCTGTATTATTTACAAATCTACAAATATCAGATGTCAAGCACCTTTTTATGTACAGTTGTATGCAAACTTTTTGCGCACCGCCTGGTCAAATTACATGTTCTATTGAATTTCTAAGTAGAAATGAATTTACACATCCTCTACAGGGAACTTAAACACAGCATTCTTCTGCAGATTTACTGAACAATTTATATTTAATTGCTAAGTTTAATCTATTGGAAAAAATAAAACAAGGTATAAAAATGTGCCATAACCTTTGCACAGGCCACTTGTTTCTTTATGTTTTTTTCAATGCATTAAATTCAGCACCTAAACAGTAACTTTACATTAAAATATGTGTTTTCTGTATAGACTGTGTACAGAGTTAGAAAATCAACAAAACCTGTAATTTTACCAAGAGCACACAAACGTATATGTTGATTGTGTTGTGCAATGTATTTGTTGTATTTTATGTGATTTAGTGCAAAAAAATTCTAGAAATCTTTGTAAATCCTTGTTTTGGATTTTGGTTGGAAAGACGTTTGCACCACGGCACTCAGCTTGGCATCATCCATGTGTACACTCTCTTTATCTCAGATGTAACCCAGAAAGGACACCTGTTCACACTTTTCAGCCTTAACATACAAATTATGGTCTAACAGATGTTGGAGGACTTGTCTGATGTGTTTATTGTGTTCCTCCAAAGACAGTGAGTATATCAGGGTGTCATTTTTGCACACTATTACTCAGCGATCTAACATGTTTTGGAGCACTGCATCAATGAAGGCATTGGACCGGCTGTACAGCATACCTGTACACTCATAGTGCCCCCTAGAAGTCACAAAGCAGCTTTCCATTTGTTAGTGTTCCTTATTTCTATTGAGGTTTCATGTGTTCTGTAAATCTAATTTAGTGAAAACTGACGATCTCTGCAACTGTTAAAGTGCAGCCAGGATTAGAGGCAGTGGATAGCGGTACTTTACAGTGACTGAATTTAGATCACAGTAAACCACCATTTTTCCCATGGCCTGTAAAGGGGCAATTCACGATTTCACCTTCACCCCATGAGATACTTAGTTTGTGTTGAATTAACCATGGAAATGCAGCATGAGAGCATTTCTAGGTGACTTTTTTAAATTAAGGATATCTTGCTTGGATTCTCAGTTCACAAGTTGTTTCAGTCACTGTTCCTCTCCCAGTGGACAATCGTCAACAGCTCTCAACAGTTCAGACTGAGCTGAAGTCAGTTCAATCTTCTACTTCTCCACCAGTCCTCTGTCAATGAAGTTGGAGCTCCAGAATTTGTCATTGTTGACACAGCGAAAACTCCTGAACTCCAAGATAAAGTCATTGTAATCATCATGTATTTGTCTTTATTTGCAGGCTGGACTGAAGAACTCAGCTCCAGTGCCTTAGCAGAGCTTGACATCCCAGATATGAAGTGCACACATAACCAGCTCAGCCACAGTAGAGACACAGGCAGTCTATGATCCGCTATTGTCCCTCCTCTACTGGTCCATGGGTTCTGGCTTAGAGATCAGACCTCTTTATTTAACCCCCTCTAGTTAATGATTAGCAGGGCTACATCACTCCAGCCACTCCCAGCTGTGATGATGAGGAACTCCAAACTGTAGGCTGCAGCAGTGAGATTGCCTTGTATTATTTCATATAAAAGAGATCCTACATCTGTTCCTGCCTTTGGGTTGTTCTGAGACCACAATGCTGTAATCCGTAGCTTTGTGAATCAGTAAGCATAAAACAAAAAGATTTAGTCTTAATCTGAGCAAAACTGTTCAAGATAGTGATCTGTGTTAAGACTACACCGCATAAGAGATTCCTTACAGCAGGAGTGCACGACTCCAATCTTAAAAGATGCGTTGGGAAACTGAGCCCAGATCAGTTCCTTAATTCTTTGTCAGCACTGAGGAAAGAGAGACCTCTGTAGGCATTTAGGGGAACTGCTGGCTACCAACAGATCTATGACATCTTCACTGTAAAACTATCATATTACAAATACATAACGTTGGCCTATTTGTAAATGGGCAGATATTTATGGGCAGCATAGTGAAGAGAAAGGGAGCCCTTTTTGAGGATCAAAACAGCCAGCTATTTACAGTGACATGCCAAAAGGCATGGGATAGCAGTATGTAGATAGATAGATAGATAGATAGATAGATAGATAGATACATAGATACATAGATAGATAGATAGATAGATAGATCACTTTATTAATCACAGAGGGAAATTCTTCTATTGCAGCAGTACAAAGCACAGTAAAGAGCAAACAAGAGCAAAATGAACAAGAGCAAAGTATTGTCATACACTATTTACAGATAATTTAAAGATATAGAAATTGATTGATGATGAAGTGGCATTACTTTAGAGGATGGCTTGGGAACGCCCACACTTGTTTAAGTTTTGAGGTGTTATCTAAGGATCGTGACCAGCAGCATCCGGCTAGAATTGTCTGTGTAAACAGACAAGCACCTTTGGCAATAATCACATCCACATTAAATGCAGGAGGCTCCACACACATATCCCGCAGGTCAGTGCAGTGTTCTTTAGCTTCCATGGGATATGGGAGCAGAAGACCCACCAGAGTACCTCTGTTAACACTAACAGAGGTATATTCGAGCAGGATAATGCACCGTGCCTTCAGGCCCAAGTTGTCCAGAAATGGTTTGAGAAGCATTCCAGAGAGTTCGGACGAATGATGTGGCCTGCATGTTTGCCCCTATTGAGCATTTGTGGGATGTAGTAAAGAAGTCCATTCACAACAGAGATCCTGCACCTACAAACACCACGGTGCTGTGGGTGGCTATCCAGGCAGCATGGCTCAACATCCATCCAGACGTTGTCTGTCCTCTTGTGGAATCGATGCCACATTGAGTTACTACACTTCACCAGGCCAGAGGGGGTCCTTCATGATACTTGACGCTTATATGATCTTCCCCCATAGTTTACGTTTAATTCATAAGATCTGGATTCTGTTTGCTGAAAAGAACTAATTATTTAGAAACATCCACTCATCTGAGAGCTCCTTGTTTCAGGTTATTAATGAACTGCTGTCATCTAGTGTAGAAAACACACAGTTAGAATAGAACATCTAACTGACTGCTCCTTTTTCAAAGCTCCTCCTCCTCTACCTGTTGTAGGAAGTGAATCTCATCCTGTCTCTCTGATCTTTCTTCATTCTGCATTCACTTCACTCAGAGACACCAATGAGGAGCTTTTAAACAGTGACTGTATGTGTTTGTTTCTTGATGTGTGATTCTGAAAGGAGCTAAAACTCACTCAGTGGGTTGAAGGGCTACGGTGTCTGATTCTCAACTGTGCTGCTCTGATCATTACAGATGTCCTAAAAGTGAAAG